GGCTTTGTTCCAAGGGTAATCATGTTCAGAGAAGTAAACCAAATATGTTGGGAAAGCCATGCAGCTCCACAAGCGTCCTCACCCAACCCCTGAGCCAATGCCAGAGTCCAGGAGGGAATCTAATGGTCTGGTCACCTGGAAGATCTCAGGTGTGAAGATCCCGGAAGTGTGCCCAGCCAGACACATTCTGCTCCAGCAGGTGTTGTCTGTAAATGCTCATGATGATTAGCCACAAGGGGACCAAGGGCAATGACTTAGCAGGTGGTAGCAAACAAAAGGATGTGACCGGCTGGAAGTAAGCAGAATCGGAAGTCTAGGTAGCCTTGAGGGACCTACATCATCATACAGAGAACTGTGTGCACAGACTGTATCCAGGCTGGAAAGCAGAGGGTTAGGTCCATGTAATCAAGGAAAACAGGAAGAACTGGGGCTCCCATGGTCCCAGGAATTCGGAATTCAGTTTCTGGAAAGGTCACTGAAGGTCAATTAACAAAAATAGTACTAGTAAAGAAGTTGTGACTTCACCAAGGGCAGAGGCTGTTGACTCTGTTGTGATTTCAGATCTTTGTTGTAGGTAGACAAGAGGTGTTTATAGATCTTGAGTCTTGTGCTTGCACCTTCTCAAAAATGCACACTGATGGTATTATACAGGCACAATAAAAATAAAGAGGTCTTATTTATTCATTATATATGCATGTCAGTTGGCATTAATTCGAGCTAGTACCAAGGAGCTTATCTACACACACACAAAACGCCGTGTTTGACTAAAGCAATAATTTATACCAGGTGATACTTACCTGATATTGCCCACTCCAGGCATCAGAGCCCTGAAGTTAACAGTCAGATGTGTATATAACAGTAACTGAACGAGTAATAATTATGTGTTTTATATGATTTTCTCTAATATAATTTTATTATATAATTTCACTATGTAAAGTAGGGATCTGGTTAAAAAAATTCTGATTCTTCTTTATTGATAAACTAGAAAATCTCTTTAGCCTGTTGTAGTTAAATTAGTGATTTTTATTCTGGTCTGAATTTACCTCTTTTTCCAGGTCTTCTGACTTTCTTTTCACCATGTTCTTGTTCCCACCTGAGATGTTTACCTTGACTTACCCTTTATTCTTGACCACCAACTGTATTTTTAAGGCGGCTCTGAAAACTGTATCTTCCAAACCTGCGATCTGCTCATATTCACAGGTCAGGCCTGGTTCTTTTCCTGACCTAAGCATTCAGTTCTCTTCATGGTCAACATTCTCTCTCATTGTCTTTGGCCACATTCTACAATAATGCGGTGATAGAAGAGGGTTTATTCTGCCCCCTTTGTGAGGAAATATGCCTATCTGATTAGGGTGCAAGCTGAATGTGCTTCTCCCATTGGGCAGGATAATGGATGCTGTCACGCCTGTATGACCCTGTCACCTCTGTGTGGCATTATTGTGTGCCTTCAGCAGCTGCCTAAAAACATCTTAATTAAGCATTTAAAGTCAGCAGTCACATTGGCTACACAGACTGCATTTCATTTGGCCTTTACAACAACCCCAAGAGATAGATCTTATTATCCTGCAAAATGAGGGAATTGACCAGAGTGCGATGCACATAGGTATCAGAACACAGTCATCTGATTAAGTCTCAGATTCTCTCCTTTAAGATGGGTGAGGTCACTGCATGGCACAAAATCTTTAGACGTTGGGAACTTTCCACGTAAACTTGGCCTTGGCCTTACAGCCTATTTTATTTTAAAATAACATAATCTCTCTTGTTTCTGCTGTTTTATTTGTTTAGTTTCTGATTTGGTCACATTACATACAATTATCACTTATCTAATTAGAAGAATAAATGATTCCAATGAATGAAAGCAGAAGCAAGTAATCATAATGAGATAAAAAATTATGCAAATCTTTCCAGTATTTAGTTAATTCTGAATAATCCATATAATTACTATGTACAATATTTTTAGAAAAACCAAAGGCATTAAACTAAAACAAAATTTTATTAAAATGGATAGTTTGAATAGTGAGAAATGTACTTATATTCATATAGTAATAAATTCTGCCAATTTTAAAGTAAAACATGTTTTAAATACTTTTGTTATCTTCTATTGGTTTATTTGCTTTAAAAGCATTTCCTTATCTCTTGTGTGGTCATATTAGAAATTCTGGCCCCCAGCCAGACAAGCCGACTCTTTACAAACTGTCAGACTCTCACTTTGACAGTTTATATTCTGAGCAATTTTTGTCAGGTACTGAATGGATAGGAAAAGAACACTGACAAAAGAAAATGTGATAGCGTAGGCATGTATTTATTTATAAATGGCATATCATGTATATTATGATAATAAATATTATATTTATGTATACATATTTATATGTGCTGTGCCATATAGAATATATACTAATATAAATGTAAATATGTTTTGACATATAGTCAATGCAAAGACATATATTGCCCGCCTCAAAAAGATCCGACGTAGGCGGTTCAGACCGGCAGAACTTGATGATGTTTCTTAAAGAAACATAGGTGCTCTGCCCTGGGTTTTGTTTCCTCTTTGGTTTTCATGAGCGTACATTGTTGGGGGTTTCCTTTCACTCCCCACATGGGTGTTGCTCCTACGAACCCAGCGACCTGGAATAAGAAGCCCAAGTTGAGATGATTGGAGACAATCATCTATATAGTAGAGGAAGTGCTAATAGAAGTGGTCGCCTTTGATAAGATTTGGGGAAGATCTACATGATTTGAATAAAATAGGATAAGCTGATATGTCTTGGAATCCATAATTTTCTGTACCACCGAAACAATATGACAGGTTTTTTTTAGTTTGAATAGTTTGATAAATAGGTTGTATGTACTAATTCCAAATAATCTCAAAATATAGCAGAAATGACATATCTCTACTCTTTATTTCTGATCAATTGTGGATGCAATATCTATATAATGAAATGGTCACTTAATCATGTTAATAAATTTGTTTTATATGCATTTGAAGGTAATTTTTGAAGCTCTTCATGTGACCCAAAAAATACCACATTACCTACTTTTTCAGTCAGTGATTTGTGTATAAGATAAAAGCTTCTTGGTCCAACTGATGATATTTTTTTTGTTTTTGTTTTTTTAAATATATTTTATTGATTATGCCATTACAGTTGTCCTATTCCCCCCTTCACGACAATATTTTTTTTAATTTAGCCCATTAGGGTGATATGGTAATAGGTTCTCTAATATGTATTCTTCCCTGTATTCGTGAAAGAACTCTGATTTGGTCACGGTGCATCAACTCCAATGTGGTGCAGAGGCTGTGAGCACATGTTCTGGAATCTGCGTTACCATTGTTGTGAACACAGGCAACACAGCTTCTATAATACCTGGGTGTTCCTTCTACAGTTTCAGAAGGATAATAATACTTGTGTAAGAGCTGTGTGAGAACCGTGTGAGATCATTCATGAGAACGACAGTATATGAGACTTGGTGTGTAGTAAATGCCAATTCATATCTTTATTGTCTCTTAATATAATGCAGTTCTGTTAATATTGTAAGCAGGATTCTTGAAAAATATTTCCTAGTGAAGTTGGCATGTCATTTCCTTTTCGGATGCCATTTTTGTCCATTATTTTTGATGCCCTTTTGATAACAGGGTTCTGTTAGTTTTGCCAGGTGAACCAGAAAGCTATCTGTTTTCTTCTGTTTTTCAGAGAACAAAACAACCTTCAGATTTCTGTTTCATTTCAGTTCATTTTAAGGAGTGAAATTTTTTTTCTGTAAACCATCATTGTATTCAAGGTTCCTACCGATATAGTTCTTTGAGAACTTTTCCATTTCTTTCATGGTTTTCATCTTTTCAAATATTTCACTTAAATTAATTTTAATCATTTGTACTTTCTTAAAATATGTTTTTACTATACACTAATAAATTCAAATTTATTAAATTTATTAAAGTTGTATATAACATTTTCTTAAAAATGTTTAAGTGTTTTTAGAATCTGTTACTATCTTTTGATTATGTTACAAAATTGATATTTGCTATTCTTCACCTTTGTTCAGAGCTAGTAGCAATGTCATTGCCAGGGTTAGCATAGACCAGTTCTACAAATAGATCAATAAAAGATATCTTAATAGTTTGCTCTCTGATTTATACATTTCCAATTTCTATGAGTCCTTTCCTCCTTATTTTTTTTATTTATTTTAAAGTTATTTTTTCCTATTTCAATGCTTAGTTTATTCATTTCCCTTCTTTTGAAACTTTAAGTCAAGGCAATTCATGCCAAGGAACTATGAATTTTCCTCTAAGTAGATTTTGATCCCATCCCGTACCTTTAAAAGCCTATTGTTTTCATGTTCTTTTTTAACTTCTTTAAATCATGAATAAGTAAAAAAAGAATGCTTTTAATTTTCAAGTATCTTTTTCATATCTTTCAAATGTCAACTTCTAATTTTATCACACAGAACTTGGACAATGTAGGCTGTAGTTTTTTTTTTTCCTTTCCCTTTAATTGTTTGATCATTTCAGCAAGAAACCTAAAAAAAAAAAAAAAAAAAACTGAAAGTTAAACATAGACACCATATTGGGCATGAAAGTTTTCTTTTATCTTTCTGTCTTTAAAAAAAATATGCAAGCTCAGTACTTGCATAAGATAACAGATAAACTATTACTGTCTTTTATCTGCTTACTGATAATAGTATCAATTTAACTATCGATAATGCTCAATCCAGACTATAGTTTGTCTTAGTTAACTCAGATGCCTACTTTGATAAATTGTTAAGGATTTTAGAGTTGGGTGGGTTGTTTTTTTTTTTACTTCTATGTTGTGAGCTCATTTTTCTGCTCTCTAGTATGAAAGTATTATTCATGTTATTACTCACTTATGCAATTTAACTATTTAAAGTGCTGATTAGCTATCGTTTGTTATAATTTGAATTTACTTTCAATATTCAAATTTCTTACATGCCTAAATTCCACTTCTAAGAATATCTCTGTTTTGTTTGTTTCATCATGATTTTTGTAGAACATGGTCGGAGAGTGGGCATTACCAGAAGAAATGGTTGATCGCTTACCACCCTCCAACAACCGCATATTGGGCCATGTGATTCACAGACTTGTCGAAAAATCTCTGCCCCCTCCAGCTGAATCAACAGAACCTGAATTACCTTCGTTTGCTATTAAAGGCTGCATACTGGGAAAAACATTTAGTGGAAAAACTACTGTTCTAAAGTTTCTACAAAAAGGTATAATTTGTGTGTGTGTTTGTATTTATAAGGTTCTACCAACACTGACTATAGCTGCAAGTGACTCCACCTGTAGAAGACATACATGAGGACCTGCTGATGCAATAGGAATATCTGTCATCAAGTATTTTATACTGGAATGATCAAATATTTTGTTGTCCAAGGAGGACATTTAAGAATGTAGAGTCATAAACGGCGACCATCCCAGGCAAACCTGGTTTTAGGGAGGTGCTCTGTAATGATGATGTGTGTACAGTGTAAATGGAAGTAACAACTTGTAAACTCTTCCCCATAGATTTTTACTTACTTTCCTAATAGATACAGTAGGATATTAATAATTTGTCACAAATAACAAGAGAAATACACTTAAAATGTAAATTTATTTTATTCTTCGTGTGCGTTGAGTTCTCTGTTTTTAATGAGCCTTTGGCTTGTTCTGTAGAAGCTTTTTTTTTTTCAGTTAGAAGCAGAATCATAGGTTTGCATGTGTTCGGTTAGTTTCTATTCATAAATACAACATCATTACTGGTTTTCACTGCAAAGCTCAAGATTGGCACTGAGGCCAGTCCATCTGGTACCATCGCAAGGCAGAGCAGGGCCACAGGTCATTATTGAGGTGATAAAAAGACCTCCTTAAAAAGCCATTTGACGAAATCCCAATGAGATACTACCACACATTTACTGTAAGTTATAATTTTTTTAAAGAGGAAAATGACAAGTGTTGGTGAGGATGTAGAGATATTGGAATACATTACTTGTAGGAATGTAAAATGGTAGACCCATTGAGGAAAGCAGCTTGGTCGTTTCTTAGTGAGTTAAACAAAGAATTGCCACATGACCCCAACAATTCCACTACTGGGTATATACCCCCCAAAATAGAAACAAGTGTTCAAAAAAGAAACAACAATAACCTTGTACAGGAATATTCACAGCAGCACTTTTAATAACAGCCAGAAGTTGGAAACAATCTAAATGTCCACCACCTGGTGGATGGATGACAAGACATGGCATATCCATGCAATGCAATATTATTTATCCACAGGAAGGAGTGAAACACTGGTACATGCTACAACATGAATGAACCTTGAAAACATGTTACTAATTGAAAGAAGTCAGACACAAAAGGCCACATATTCTATAATTCCACTAATATGAAGTATCCTGAATCGGCAAATCCATAGGAACAGAAAACAAATTAGTTTTTTCCAGGGACAGAGATGGGGAGATGGAAAGTGACTGCTCAATGGGTCTTCTTCTGGGAGGATAAAAATTTTTTGAAACAAGATAACAGTGATGGTTGAACAACCTTGTGAATAACCTAAATACCAGTGAAGTGTGTCTCTTAGAATGGTTAAAATGGTTAATTTTATGTTCTGTGGATTCTAACACAATAATAATAATAATAATAATAATAATAATGAAGAAGAAGAAGAAACTTGATCCAGAAGACAGTTCTCAGGGACCCTAAAGGCAGTATGAGAGGGGTCAGCCCACCTAGGATAGTGATGTCAATTTCCTAAACTGCCTTTCTTACTTTAGACTTTCCTATTCGGGTACTTTCTATCGACACTCTTCTGCAAGAAGCTATCGCAGCATTTCATGACAAAGAAACAGTCCAGGAGGCCCCACCCACTCAGAGTGAAGCAAAAGGAAAGGCTGGGCCTGATCAGCACAGGAATGAAAGCCAGGCAAGTGTGATTTTAGTTACTATCCATGCACCTCCCATAGGAGATGTGAAGCCACGTAGATTCCAAGAGAGCTTCTAGACTAGAGATTGGCAGACTTTTCTGTAAAGGTCCTGAGAGTAAATGTTTTAGGTTTTGTGGGTCAAAAAGCAAAATGAAGGGTAGTATGGGGCCCTTATATAACAAGAAAGAAATTTGTCCCCTCCACCACCACCAGTTTCCGGGGTGTTGGGCTGGCTTTGTGCCCAGTCACCTTCAGCAGGAGACTTTCTTCTCAAGGAAGAGCCACTGAAGGGCGGTGGAGGGGCTGAATGTCAGGGGTGGGAGGGGAAGGGTATGAGGATTGTGGGAGAGTTTACCAAGTCACCAGCTCCTGGAGAGAAATTCTACTACTGCCAGCCCAGCGGTGGCCAACAGCAGAGCCCCATTTGTCCAGTGGCAGAGCTGAGCAGGGCAGGGGTGCAGGGGAATACCCAGCTTGGTCCCTAAGCTCACAGTGGTGTCTTGTGGAGTTTTATATGCCTGCGGACCATAATAAAACAGTCACCCCCCAAAATGTGGTCTTTGGGGATCATCGGCAGACTTCTGATCTAAACCTATAGATCTCAATTTGGGGAGGTGAGGGTGGCAGGGAGGCCTCCGGGTGGTTCACCAGAGCCACATTCCTATTAGTATTGGAACTTGCTGCATTATTGCATGAAGATTCTAAGGAAGGAGATTGTGTCCCCACCTTGAAAAGCGCAACGTGGTCCAGTACCCTCATTTTATCAGGGAAGCAGTAGAAGCCCCAAGCTTATTTTCATTGGGGTCCGAAGGCTTGTTGATGTCTAGGCTGTGACTGGGATCCCGGGTTCTAAGTCCAGTACTCTTTCCCCTTCCTTATGCTGTCTCCAAAATGGAATAAATTCACAAAGAATCTAATTCAGATCATTTGCATGAGCTGCAAAATAAGTATCATTTAACCATAAACTCTGAAATTTTAACTGGAAGATTTCTTCATTGTGGGCTGCTCTGTCTTCCATGTGGTTCTGCTCCTCGTAATCTGACCTTTAGGACGCCAGACGGTGACGTCTGTCTTTATTTCCCTTCCCTGTCAGGCCACGCCTACCCCCCAGGGCTGATCTTCCTGACATGGGTTTCCATAAACTCCAGCTCTTTCTCAGCTCCCAGTGTATTTTCAAAATGGCAGTTGCTGTATTTTACAGAGTAACTGACAAGCCAATTGAAAGACATTCCACCACAGGTTACTGTGTGTTTCCATAAATACTGTTATCATTGAACTTCGTTTTCTTCTGGAAATTAGTCAGCCTCTCTTGGTATCATTTATGTTTTAGATAAAATAGCACAATTTTTCAAACCTTACTTATAGAAATACAATTAAGAATGCCATTAAAATATAACAATATTAAAAATCTGTTCATGTGTGTGTGTTTTCTCCCCAAAGGATCTGCAAAATAAACTTCTAGCTGATTCAGTTTCATTTGAGCCATTACCAGAAAGAGAAGATAAAACTACACTCAGTAAGTAAAATAGCAAAACAGACCATCCAGCATTGACATCAGAGGGACGGACACACAGGAAGCCCATCCTTGTGACCACAAACACGCGGCACACAGTTGTCTCCATGGTCATTTGACAGAGAGCAAGATGAATACAAACATCCCTAACCTTTGTCCACAAGTGGGGATAAGAGACAAAAGTGATAAGGCGTCTCTTCCCACTCCTTCATGGGCTGTGGCTGCTCAGTTGTGTGGTTCCAAAAACCACCTGGATGTACCATCCTCCTCTTCCCTGGCTTTGCAGGGAGGCAGGGCCTCATTGTTTCCCCTCACGTGCCCGGGTCTGGGGAGGGGTGCTGTTGGGGCGCTCTCAGCGTGCTACTGCTCTGTCCACGGCGTTGAGGGCGGCTTCAGGGTCTGGTCTCTGCAGCTCACCTCAGCAGTGGTTCCTTAGATGACACTCGGTTTATTCCTAACCTCGCGCAAGACAAATAGAAGCAAGCTCCCCAAACCTAATGAACAGTCACCTCCCTAGAGATCTACTCTTCAGTCCTTCAGGTCCTTGGTAGAAGCATTGAGAGAAAACACTTTTAAGTCTTAAAAATATGTTCCATTTGTGCTAGTGAAGGCCTTGCCTGTTCAACAGTTTCCTCAAGCTCTAGAATGAAGTTCAGACCCCCCTGGCCATCACCGTTCTTGCCTTTGCCAGTGGGCAGCGTGTGGATTCTTCAGGGACGTGCCGCTCCCCCGAAGCAGTCAAGTTTTCCATCTTACAGAAGGAGCTAATCTTCCCCTTATTTTTAGTTTATTTGTATCTTCCAGATATCTCTATTGATTTTTAATCTGAGACTGTATAACCTATTTTATCACAAAGTACAGTAATTATGAACAGACTTTGAAAACTTTGTATTTATCCCTTGAATTTAACCCAAACCTCCTATTACTTCCAGAGTTTTCTTTCTACTTTCAGACTTTGTTACTTATAACTAGATAATCCAGGAAAATAAAATGTAAAGAATTAAACTTTTAACATTTCTTGAGAAACTTGACTTGTTTCCTGAAAAGAAACCCCCAACAATGTTGGAGTATTTCTGAAGATGCTGTCCTGAGTGAGCCCACACACTGGAGGGAAGGCCATAGAAAACACCGAGCCACACGGTGGCCGGGATCTTAACGCTGAAATGAGGGTGGCAGACGTGCCGCGGCGATTCTATTACTTCCTTCCTCAGAGGATCTCAGGCAGAGCCGGGTCCAATGACCCACCTGTCCAAAACCCTGGGCGGTCAGGTACTGGAGTTCGTTCTTAATCACTTCTCCTGTTGCTAGGTACTGACACCAGTGAAACACCAAAACCGGAAGAACTCCAATCAAGTGATAGTTTCTCTAAAGTAAGTATTGTAATCTGACTTTGGGTACAAGTATGTTGAAACATGTCATGATTGTTTGGTTTTCGATGTGTCTTCAAGTGGCGTGAAATACCAATGTGTCCCTCTCTGGTTTGAAGTAAATATAATGGTAAAATATTAGCTAAATACTTGCTATTCTTTACACTATTAATATTCTTTATATCTAAAGCAGTGGAAATTGATATTCAGTTTTGCCAGCTAAGAAAGTAAACACATTTTTAAATTTTAGACTTAATGCCAAATTTTTATTTATATGTTGTTCTTTACTAGTTAATTTATGACTTTTATTTCCCTTCAGACTCTTTACTTTTAAGGAATTTTCCCAGAATTAATCCTTAGCCTTACTGGTGACTCTATAAAATATTTTACTTATCTATTTGAGATACGAATTACCAGTAAGACTAAGCATATTTTTATATTTAAATTTATTGAGTTGCAAGTCCCCAGAATTTCATATTCAGTTCAATTCAAAGGGCATATTTTGTTTCATACACTGTTGTAATGATTTGGGATCTACCACTGAACAAAAAAGACAGAGTTCTTGGGCCTTACAGAGTTTACATTTTCCTAGAGGAAAACAGATAATAAAGGCACAAATACATAAATGAATGAATTGTCATTATGTGAGCTATTGGACAGTGATGAGACCAGGGGAGAAGAGTAAGGAGTGGAGCGGGCTGAGGGGATCAGGGACGCAGGTGTGTGGCAGAGGAGTGAGGGCTGAGCAGAGAGAGCTATGCTGGGAGGGACAAGACTCAAGTCAGCCGGGGCCTTATTGGCAATGATTAGGGCATTTGGAGCAAGAGGAGGAGTCTTCGCAAGGTTCAGAGCAGAGATGTAATGTCATTCTACATAAAATGTAAGAACAGGCACTAAGAAAGCTGCTGTTGATGGAGAGTAGCTTTGTTGGGCCAGTGCATTCTAAGGTAACATTCTTAGAGAACATTCTAAGGCTGGGCCAAAGACAAAAGCTTATTATTTGAGGCCAAAAGCAGGAGGCAAATAAGTACAATGGCAATTAAGCAAGCAGCAAAAACAGACAGAAAATATGTGGACTGTGACCTTGAATGAGGAGAGCATGGCAGGACAAGGGCTATGTTTCTGCTGGTTATCCCAGAGGCACGCCCCATCTGCATGGTGGGGGTAGCTAGAACCAATCAGAAAGCCTCATTCTTCTCGACTGGAAGTATTTGAGGATGAGGTTTGGGATGCTGAAAATTAAAGAGGAAGATCTTGAAAGGGAGGAAGCCACAAAGGGAGAAACTCAAATTCTACATACACATTTTTCTAAAATTCCTGGAAGGCTCCAAAATTATCACAAATGATCAATGTCTTCACTAGAGAATATGACCATTTAATGGTTTTTTCCTCCAAATATTTGGAATCTAACTCTTAAATTAGTTTTACCTTGCCACCCATTGTTTATTTTCACAGCTCACAGCCCGTGCTCAGCTTGGTGCGAAATCAGAAAAGATGCTGAAGAAAGGAAAAAGCGTTTCTGACCTGTTGCTAGTTAGCATCCTGGTAGATGCTATTAAGTATGTATTATTGTTTATCTGTTTAACATATTCTCTATCATATAGAGATGTATAAAAATAATATAGAACTCTTTTTATTTCTGATGTCTAACGAACACTACTTATCTACATAAGAAAACATACAGCAAGATCCAGATATATTTTGTGATTTACATGCCTGTATTTCACTTCCCCCTTTAACAACCATGACTTTGTTCACCCAGATGCAAGCTCATGTCAGTTGCTATTCCATGTGGGAAATTCAAGAAGAAACCAGATTCTGCTTAGAAAAGCCAAGGGACATGTTATGGAGGGGAAGACCCTGAATTGTGGACTCACGGGCCAATGCACTTCCTCATTTTGTGTTTCAGAAGGAGGGGATGCACTCAGGGGTCCAAAGGTTGGGCAGGGATGGGGAGAGAGGCAGTGAGAAAGTAGAGTTGCACAGGCAAGAGATAATTTTGAGCTTAGCTCAGAGGTGATGTGTGATAGGGGATGAATAAAAGTCAAAATAAGCTGTGATTCTGTAATCTTTCTAAGGATAGAGGATTCTCCTTGCCCCTCCTTAGTAATACGGAAAAAGGACACATTGAAAGAAGCCATAGAGGCTCTGATGATATATATAAGAAAGCGATGAGGCTTAGCAGGATGGGGAAAAAAGAATCAAAAGGGCTACTGAGAAGAGCTGGGAGAGCTTGGGCGGGTGAGGAGATGGAATTGGGGTGGCCGTGCTGTGTGGGGAGCCGTGAGTCTGAGAGAGGCAGGGAAGGGGGTTTACGGGAGGCTTTGTCCTGCACCTGAGTGGAGCTCCCCCCACTTTAGTGTTTTCCTGCGACCTCATCAAAGGCTTAAGTTGCCTTTCTATTGCGATGTGTCTTGGAACATTTTCTTCTTGAATGCCAGGCTGAGGAAATCGGGTCACAGGGATACTTCCCCTCAGAGCTGGAACGGATCTCATCCTCAGAAGTGGCACAAATGTGTCTTACCTGTGGGACTGCTTATTGAAACAAACTGTGTAAGGGGGAGGGGAGGGATAAACAGATCTGAGCTTTGGCTTCAGGGGAACTAGCATGTCCGAACCACCATCAGAACTTTCCTACCCTCCCCACACTGTCCCATTGCCCCCGAGGCACCTTCCCGAGGCTGTTCTCCCTTTGAAATTCTTTCATCTAGTCCAAACCCATCCCCTCGCAATGAGGAAAGGAAGGCACATGGCAGTGCAATGAGGCAATCCAGTCACAGGTCTGGTTCACAGTGTAGTCAGAGCCAAGTCCCAGTTCTTCTCACTCCACGTCGCCTGGTGTCCTCATACTGCAGCAAAAGAAGTGTGACCTTGACCTTTACCTCCTCTTCTCTCGGAAGTGGCTGCTGAGACTGCGAGTCTCACCTAGGTTTGGGAGGCCACCTAGGTTTGGGGAAGTGCTCAAGGAACTTCATCTTAGGTCAGTGGAGCCACAAACCCATTATGTTACAGAACAAGCAGGGGTCCCCCCAAGGATGGTATACTAATACCATCCGGACCACCTACTGGGCTCGATTGTTCGCCACCAATTGGAAAGACGTCTCCCAATGCCAGAGAATTGTGAAAGAGAAAGGAAATGTTTATTTAATGCTATATAGACTTAAAGTAGTAACCCAATGCCCCCACTAAAATATTAAAGTACTTTTGGATACCCACAGACGCCCACAGTGCTTCCTTCTCCCCCTATCCTAATTCAGGGTACCGTAACTCAGGAAAATTAGAACGTGTCTGTGTTTCAGGCCACTGGCACCATCAGCTGTGTCGCCACCCAGGCAGGATCTCTAATTAATCCAAAGTCATGTGGCACCCTCTCATGGCCTACTGGCAAGAGTTCTTTTACCCTTCTCCCAGGCAAAGTCTCTCCTGCTTCCCAGGCCACGCAGCCAAAGAGAGCTCCCCAAAGCCGTGTGGTCCTCTTCTACCAGAGCTGCAGGGGTCTGCACTCTGGCCAAAACCCTGTGGATCTCCCCGCAAAGCTGCGGAAGGGTAGGGTTGCCACTCTGACAAAGCCTACTGGCAATTCTCTGCTAAAGCTGCATAGTGATTCTCTCTACCCCAAGCTGCAGGGGTCCCCACTCTGTCCAAAAGTGCATGGCTCTCTCTCTGCACTGCCACAGCTGTGTGGTTCCCTCTCCAATGGGTTTTAAATCCCCGAGCCAATCTTCTTCTACATCCCCATTTCTGACTCCTCCCACAATCGGCTACACCTGCCAGCACTCTCATATCCTTCCAGTTTTACTGGGGTGCCATCATGAGTCAGGGCAGGTGTGGCCCCATGTCTCAGAGCCAGTCATCCTCAAGCTCTCACACAGGCACTATAAACAGGGGGAGTTGCCTCCCAGTGACATCTTGGGTGGAAGTCACTCCCATCTCCCTGGCTCATAGCATGGCTACAGCTATTTAACATATCTGTGACACCAGTTAAAGGTTATAGATATGTTAAATGACCATTCCAGAGGTTAGCTGTGAAACTGTTGCTGTACAAAACAGCTCTGAATATCCCTGTTCCATTTGTTCCTTCCCCAACTCATACCTGTTGGGGGGAAGCAGTGAGGACATCTTAATATTTCCTGAACACCTTGAGTTCTGGACCCCATTCCAAATCCCTTTTTGGGACCCCCTCTTGGTTGCACCCTGTTACAATTAAGCAGAGTGCTTCACTGCGCTCTGCACAAGTTATAAAGCAAAAATGCAGTCTTTTCCTGCTCTTCGTAGCTCTAACAGAGAAAGGAACAAGGCCATGACTTAATCCAAACACCAAAATCTCAATTTTGCATAAATTAGAGGTTTAGAAGCAAAAAGTTGACGTTTATGCCCCTTTCACATTGTTTTCCAATTTAAAGAGCTAAAATAATTCTTAGAGCACCCATTCTCTACAGAGGATGCTGCACGGAGGGGCCTTACCCGACTTACAATTTAATTGAGATAAGTAAGTCTCACTTGAATTTTTCTAAGTTGCAGTAGAATACTTAGCAGTTGTGTGGTGAAGTGAATGAGAGCCAGAGGAGTCCAGATCAGGCAGCAGTGGCTCCATCACCTGACAGAGTGACTCCATGCTGGCTGGGGGTGGAAGAGTAGGAAGAGGTTCTCAGGTTGGCATTGTGAGTGTCCACCCTGTGCTAACCTCTACGCCAGGATCTTAAAATGTAGCATTTCAGTTTCTTCTCACAAGCCCACTGTGATGTGTTACCCCACTCTGTATAGATGAAGGAATGGGTTCAAAGGAGAAAGGGCCTGTGAACACAAGCTAGAAAATGCAATTTATTCTAATTCATACGCATGTAACAGTGAGGAGATCAGTTTGTTTCAAGTAAATGGCTCAGAGCTATGGGAGAAGATGCAATAGGTCAGTAAGTTGTGTCCAGCTAGTTTTAGATACCATGTTATGGTGGGCAGCAGGCACCCACAGAACTGTAAGCAAGTGAATGATTAGTTCACCTAACTTTAACTATAAAGAAATAAAACGCATACAGGAGGAGATTATTATGGAATTGAGAGAAAGATAAAGGCAAGATTAATTGTATTATTATTTCCAAAGTAATCACGTCTACCGAAATATTCATGGTGTGTCCACTTTCAATTCAGTCAGCTACCAGTGGATCAAGGCTGGGTCCTCGATGGTTTTCCCATGACGCTGAACCAAGCAAGGCTTCTGGACGAAGCTCTCACGGGCTGCAACCGAACCCTCATGGAGCTGGAGAGGAAGAAAGCCCAGAAGCACGCACTGGCTGTCGATCCCACGGCCACCAAAGAGGTGCCTCTTCCCCCTGCTGCGCTGGACTTTGTCATGTTACTAGATATTTCCGATAACTCCTCACTGGATCGCATGAATAACATGATGGGTAAGTTGGATGCCTCTTATTTTATTTTATTTCATTTTATTTTTTGATGATCTTGTTTACAGTTTAAATTTTTTTAAAACACTGTGTATCCTAAAATTTCATTCTTTTTCTGGCACAGCCTGCCTGGAGATGGTGCAGACCTGGTCCCACAAAATGGTGGCCCCCAGTTACAGATGCACATCTCGAGTAGTGGATCCCCAGGTTACCATCACTTCTCTCCAACTTGCCTACAAACTTGGGGGTTTCCATGACCCCTCCTCGGGTTTAATAATTTGCTATCATGGCTCACAGGACTTAGGGAAACACTTTCTTTACTGTTACTGGTTTATGATGGGGGATATTATAGAGGATACAGAGGAACAGGCAGGTGAAGGGTGCGTAGGGCAAGGTCTGGAAGGGCCCCTGTGGGGCTTGGAGCGGGCCATCCTCCCAACCTGTGGGAGCATTCGCCAGCCCAGAGGCTCTTCAGGTCCCTCTTCAGAGTTTTTAGGGAAGTTCCATGATGGAGGCGCAACTGATTCAATCACTGGGCATCATCATTAGCTCGGTTTTCTGCTCCCTAGAGACCAAGGGTGGGCTGAAAACCCCAGACCTCTAATCGCAATATGGTTGATTACTCTGGCAACCAGACCCCAACCTCCAAGAGTCACTGCATGACCATAAGCTCAGATAGTGTTGAAAGGGTCTTATTCTGAATAACAAAAGATGCTCCCAGCCTACTAAATGGGAGAACATATTCACCAACAACACACCTGATAAGGGGTTAATATTCAAAATTTATAAAGAACTCATAGTACTCAACACCAAAAACAAACAAACAAAAGAACAATCCAATTTAAAAAAATGAGCAGAGGATCTAAATAGACACTTCTCCAAAGAGAATATACAGATAATCAGTAGAAATATGACCCGATGCTCAACGACACTAATCATCAGAGAAATGCACATTAAAACAATGAGATGTCTCCTCACACCTGTCGGGATAGGTCCACAAATGACAAGTGCTGACGAGGGTGTGGAGAAAAGGGTCACGCTCATCCTCCTTTTGAGCTTGTTAATTTTGAGATCTTCCATCATTGTTCACTTCAATAAAATGCCAGAACTATTAGATATTCATTCAACTGTTGAGCCTCATAGTTTAAACTGGATGCTGTTCGTCACACCGCAAAAGGGAAAATGTACTTCTATCCACACAAAGGAGGAGGAGCCATGTGGTCAGTAGTGAGGCGTCTGCTGGTCCAGCCAACTCCCCTCTCCTGTTTGGGGGACAGCGGGGGCTAGCGAAGAACACTCCAATCCATGGCCATCTGCTGGCAGGACAGGGTTCTGAACTCAAGGTAAATCTGACTTGAAAGTGGGTTATAAAGCGCACACAGACATCTGTGGGTGAGAGGATCCCGAGCACTGATTATGACCCTGCAAGGACCCCAGAAGGCAGGCCTACCCTCTTGTGGCTCCATAGGAAGAACACTGCTGTATGTCTCAAAAAAAAAATAGAAGGAAACCAATTGGCAAAACTTTTCAAGAAATCCGACTCAATCCAGTTTGAGTTCTTTCAGTTCCCTATCAAAATCATATAACAAATAATTCTGGTAAATTTGGCAAAGCTGGTATTAGCATCTAAATACTTTTATTTCCTAATTGCAGACCCTTGACTTACAACTAGGCTTAAAAAGGCCCTTTCTCCTCTATTCCAGGAAGACTTTCTCCTTTGCCAAATTTATGTTTATATGTATGTAAATAATATTTGTTTCTGCTTGTAGAAATTGGTATTAAAGCATAATATGATGTTTTTCCTTTTCATCTTATATTTCTAATATTGTATGTTTCTAGGTCTGAACTGAACTTGAATCGATGGCTCAATCAGGGCTCTTTAAACCATGAAAACTAGTTTGAAGTCATTGAATTGATAGTTCACACTTGTTTGGATTAGAACTGAGTGTGCTAAATAGGTGTCCACAACTTGAAAATCAATGTACAGTTTTCATGGTCATGTATTTTAAGTTAAGAAAAAGTATTACTCTTTCATATCTTAAGATTTTTATTTCTTAAACTATAAGATTTGAATGGCCTTTGAGAGATCCTTTTGCCAATATAGTCTCCTTATCTTAGGCAAAAACCCACCTACACTGTTTTGGGCAGATGAAACTCTATCCTTCTAAAGTAGCTTGTTCACTCACAGATTCATTTATTATTCATCGCATGCTGTGCAAGGCACAAGAGGAACTGTATCCTGCCTTCCAAGAATTTACTGGAAATTGTAGATAAAGAACCAAGGGGTTACACAATATGAACTATGTCCCACATGACAGCCACGAGCCACATATAACTATTTAAGTTAATTAAAATTAATGAATTGAAAGATTCAGTTCCTCAGTCACACTGGCCATATTTCATGTATACAGGTAGCTAGTGGCTATCATATAGACAATACTGATGCAGAAGGTTTTCATCACCCCAGAAAGTTCTGTTGGATGTCATTTGTAGAGGGATGGAAGCTAAAATGCACCACTGGTGAATATTTAGCGTTTATAATGTGCCAGGAATTGATAATACAAAAGTGAAGGGCAAGTCATTACCCTCGAGTAGTTCACAGTGTGTCATGAGAAGAAACAGAGTAAACTGCTTATTATAATATAGTCAGTTCTGTGGAGGGAAATAGAAAGGCAATTGCAAGCCTTGGTAGGTTAGTGTGGTCCATCTAGAGAACAGCAAGTGCACAGTAGGGCTGGAGGGAGGAAACTATAGAGAAGCAGCAGACAAGAGCCTAGAGACTAGACAGGAGGCCAGATGAAGAGTCTTGCCCCTGGCTTGAACTTTATCCCGAAGCCAAGTGAAGTCCATGCATTACATTAAAGCTGAGATTTAGTGCAATTAGATCTGCTTTTTGTAGTGGTCATTTTGGTTTCATTGGAAGGGGAATGAGATTGGAAGCAATGAAATGAATTAGAAAACTATTACCACCTGAAACACAACAAAGGCAATACAACAACTGTAAGAAGCAAGATAGGAAGAGTCCACTTCAAGCAGTATTTAGGAGGAAAACCACCAAACTCAGTGATCAGGTGGGCTGGGGGATGCAGCACAGGGAGAACAGGATGACTTTCAGTCTCTGAGTTGCCCAATTTTTTGAGTGATGATATCGCTTGGTTAGAGAGTATGGAAAGAACACGTAAGAGTCCCTTAGGAATATACTGAGCTTGAAGTGCCTGTGGGGCAAGATGTTAGAGAACAGTTCTATAAATGAGTCTAGATGTCAGGAGGAAAATGTGCACCACAGTTAATAGACTTAAAGGTAAGATAGATCATCTAAAAAGAAAAATATAATTTTAAAAATATCCAGGATGAGACCCAAGAAAACATGAAAATTTAATGGGAAGAGCAAAAGAATCTCTCAGAAGCAGCAGCTCTAGAGAAAGGAAGAAAGCCAGGGTGAGTAATGTCTCGTGACCAAAAGGAAGACAGATTGTCAAATAAAGGTGTTGTACTCTCCTCCTTCCAGACTGGTGGGGGCTGGGGTCCTGAGGCCCAGGTTGGGGATCCCCAGGGTCTGGTGCAGTATGCCACCGTACAGTGCTTGGGGTCCTTGGAGAAGCTGGAAGAACAGCACCACAAAAAAAGCAACCTACAGCCAGAGTCAGGTGGACTCAAAGAGCATGGCAGACAGGAATAGACCAGATGGAAAGCCAGCAGGCAGGAGACCAGAAACACCTGAGGAGAGGGGACATCCAATGTGGGAGTAAGGAACTGTTGGAATGGGAGAGTGGGAGGCTATGCCTGGGTTTTAGCTTTGACCTTGGGCCATCACCAGCCTGTGGGGGAGCAGCAGTGTTCATCACGTGGTGAGAGGCACAGACAGATGGTGAGTGCAGACCCCAGATGCTTCACTCTGTGCAGCAGTGACTGGAAAGAAACATATCTGTTTCTTCACCTGGGTGTCATCTTTAGTTTGTGAGGTCGTGGGGCTGTATATTAATGTATGCATTCTGTTTGGAGGTACACTTCAATAAATACCTTATAACTTAAAAAAAACATCCAAAGTCTAGAGCTGAATTGACTGTAATCAAATCTTTTCTCGGCCATTTATGAACAGTGCACTTTGGGGCCAATTATGGAGTTACAATTCTGCTTCTAAATTTTTCTACGACTATAAAATAATGGAATATTGATGTGGACTCTGGCCAGCAGGGTCCATGGTGTTACGGATACAATGAACAAAATCACACAGACTGAAGAAGTCCTGTAGAGAAAAGGGACGGCATGGCCACTCTCTGAGTGAGAGAGCGCCCTGACCCTTGCCTGAACAGGCTTTTATTGCTTTCTGGGAATGTTATAGGTCAAGGAAGGTCCTCATTCATCACTGTCAGGCAATAATGATCAAACAATAGATAACATTCAAAGAACTATGAGGGCTTATTCTGAGTCAGGGTCAGTTAACTAAAGGGCCATAAAACTTTGGGAAACAAACTCATTTCATGCTTGGACCCTTATCAGAAAATTGAGGACATTCTTATCAAAGCAGGATTTTTTGCATTCTTAGGCTTGATCGCCCAGGAGAACTTGCCCTTTCCAGCACAGGACTCACCACCCTCTGTCATTGTTTCAAGATTAAGTCAGGCAGGGGAAGTAAGGCAGGCAAGAGATTAGGAGACTTCTTACAGACAAAAATGAGGACTCAGGCTATGTCAGACCCAAGGTGTGAGGGTCCCTCACCCCTTTTTCTATAGCCCCCCAAGTCCTTCTGAGTCTATAGCACCAGCCACAAAGTCCATCCTTACTTCTCCATTCCTTCTTTGAGACCTCCCTCAGCCCTGCCACCAAAGCCATCAAGGCCGGTGGATAAGTTTCAGTCCTGAAACTATTTCTCTGTCACATTTATAGGTAAAAGTTAATGCACAGTTCTTAAATACTTTTACACATATTCTGTTGGGAACTGCCCTGCCTGGTTTCAGAAGCTGTAACCTCCCAATGGCTAAGGCTGAGTAAAGAGACATTGACCATAGGCCACTAAGAAGACAAAGGTTATCTTCCCAGCTGGGACACTGCCTCTTCCCCTTTTTACTTCACCCAGCTTGGCCCCAGGTGGATGACTGGTTAGCCAATGATGGGTAAGATTCCTCAAGGGAGGGATGACCTAAGACAGGCACAGTCATGATGGGGCCATTAGGGAAGGACTTGGGGGGGACTATAGAAAAAGCTGGGGAGGTGGATGAAGATCGGCTGGAGACAGCTCTCAAGGTGTTTGTCTCTGTAAGAAAGGGGACAGCCATAGCAAAAAGGTATTTATTATGAGTTCTTTAGTTTTTCTCTCTCTCTCTTTGAGAAAAGAGCACATGCATATCAAAGAGCTCAGGTGATCTTTAATCCAGGCAATTAGTGTGATTACAAGTCACAGGGTTATATATTTTTCTTTGAAGATGTCTACCTATATTAGTGTAAGTCTTGGAAACAGAGATGAATGTTGTCTAAGACTCGTATAACCAAAAGACACAAAAATTGAAGTTATAAGATGGGGGAGAGAAATTGAAGGTTCAACCAAGCAATTCTGTTTTCCTAGAAAATTAAGTGAAGTCGGAATAGTGCTGGTAATTTGGGGGAAAAGGGTGTTAAGAGACTGGCTGCTGTTAGAGAGATTCACTGTCTACATGGGAGTGCTTGAAAGAAAATAGGAGTATAAGTCATTAAGACAACAGAGATGGAGCCATTCAAGGTGATCACAAAATCTAGGACATGGCCATGGTAGTGAGTGCTGGGAGCAGAGAGAATGGCAAGGTGTCAATGCCTGGGCACAGCTGGGGGGAAGAAGAACGCTCACCTGTGTGCTGAAGTCCCTGGCAAACACTAGAAAGTGGCCGTGACAGCATCTCCTGAGAAAAGCCCCCACAATTTTCTTCAGTCACCCACTGCTAATGTCAGTAACCTTCGAGTTGAATAAATAACCTGCAAGCATTATTCTGTCTTCTAGATCCACTTCCTCTTTTTCTGCTGTGAATGTAGATGGAGAGCAATTGATTGCTACATCCTATGACTGTCCTTCATTTTCCTAAACGCTATTAATTTACTCACTTTTTAATGTTCTCTTTCATAGACTGAGAAATTCTAATTTTTTAAACATCTAATTCAAAGCTTTTTTCCCTCTGTGATTTTCTATTTATTCTAAGTTTGCGACTATTCTGGACTTTATACTATCAATCCTGAATAGGACTCAGTCAGAGCTGTTGTGACTGTTTTCGTTATTGTATTTGGTCTCTTGTGGTTATTCCTTTATATTTATTCTATAGGGAAAAATCATAAAGTCTAGGAAGAAAGATAAATTACTTTATTGTGTTGTAATATAATATTGATGAATAATCTTATGCATTTTTTACTTTATGTCCACCTTGTTCCTTCATTTTAAATTTTTACATCATGGTGGTGACTTTCTAATTGTTTCCTAGTTTGTTATTCATGATGACCCACCCTTTTCATTCTCCCATAGATACTCCCAAGACCCTTTCCATCAAAACCACAATTCCTCTTTAATGTTGTATCTTACATTTTCTCCAATTTCCAAGAAAAATTTAAATTCTGATTCTCCAAACTATACTCATTCAACATCTTATTAAACATTTAAAAGGCGGAACCACATATCTATTTGAATTTCTTATATCAGTACATTTGACAACGCTACTGCAACTTTGACTGGTTTTGCAAATTGTATAATTAAGTAATTTTCATGTCATAGATAAAGAATTTTCAACTAAAACTGTTCATGAAGATATCAATCAACGTGTAGCTGCTAAGAACCAAGATATGAATAATGACCAGAATTTAAGAGACCAAATACAGCATAGGTGAGTTTAAAATTTAATGTCCTGCTTCTTGTCCTTTGAACAGACAGACAATTGGTCACTTTGGGACCATCAGACCTAGGAAAAAGATGTATTTTCCTAGCACGCAGTCTGTTCCAGGTAAAACAAAACTAGGTAGCTTTGATGCTGAGTGAAACATCTGTATGCTCGCTTTGAGAGCAGAGCACTAGTCACCATGACCTGGGAGGAACGAATTAAATCAGGCAGCACTTCCCTCTGTGGTTATGTGAACTTATTAGTTCATTATATGGAATCCTAATTCAGCCCCTAATTCAGTCTCTATTCAGCAAGTGCCAACGAAGATCATGAAATTTAAAGACCTGGACATCAGACTACAGAGTATAGTTCTAAAACTACTTCTGTTTTGCTAAAAATAAGTTAAGCTTTTAAAAAAGAAATTATTCTTTTGGTTGTGTGCAATTTTTTCATGGGAAAAGAAAATTTAGACAATTTCATGAAACCTTGAGGAGTCTAAAAATGCAGTGATTTACAGGGACAAGTAATTTGCGCGACATTAAGACTGTCGTCTCTCAAGGAAGACAGGAAAGCTTCACGAACCATTCCAAGAATACATTTGACTTCTATAAAGCAACTGCTAGCTCCTCTTACTCAAAGATCTCTTCCTTCAATTTCTACCCCTGAGAGGAGAGTAGGCAACGCAGGCGGCTCAGGCTGCAGCTGCCATCAAACTTGAGCTCAGCCCTTCCACTAGAAGTGCAGGTGATGCTGCCTTCAATTTCCACTTAGATCTGAACTACCATCAAGCTTTCCTAAAATAAGTCCATGTTCGAATCTCCGTTCATCCTTTCATATACTTCAAAAGCATGGCTGGGTAGCATTAAATAATTTCTTCTTTAAAATGAGTATTCTGCCATTGCCTGTAGCGTTCTTAAGGTTGATCTTTCAGATTTAACTATGCGGGCACCTGGTATTTTCATTATGCATGTCCAATAAATCATGCTTAATGTTGCTCAACTATATAATTCATGTAATATTTATGTAATACTTTGATTTTGTAGAATTACAGGTTTCTTGGATAACTGGTCCTTATTGGAACAATGGTTTTCGGAGCCGGAAAATATTTTGATAAAAATCAATGCTGAAGTAGATAAAGAGTCTTTATGCCAAAAAGTAAAGGAAATATTTACGAATGAAATAGTAAAAAAAGAGGATAAAGGTAACAATATTTCTTTATAATTTTGAGCTTATGTGAGCAAAACGTATGATTTTAATGAATTTAAGGCGAAATGAAAGTGTGATCTCAAAGTTCTCTATTTGTAATATCTATAGATGTCTTCTACCTCTAATTTTACTTTTCTGGCACAAATGTTTCTAAATAAAAGATTTCCTTTCCTTGTTTTAATTTAATTTAATCAAAAGAGGTCATCTAGCTGGAATACTGTTTTCATGTGAGCAAAAAAAATAGCAGAGTTAAAACCAAGAATGTTATGGAGAAGGGTAAAGATCTCAAGCTGTCCACCTCAGCCTTATAAAGAAACAGTGAGTGGTTTCTCCTTTTTGGGATGAAAACTCTAGGCAGTTTCTTTCCCCCAATCCTTTTGTGTTGGTATGAATTTATTGATTATTAACTACTCACTTATATGCCTGCTTCTGGGATATATATTACCCAAATCAAACCATCCTGACCTCCTGCATACTTCATCTTACCAATAGTAATTCCTATCAGCTTTTCACAGTGTTATTGTAGTTGATTATTGAAAGGGACATGAAGTTCATACACTGCCAATGGCAGACTTTAATAGTAATTTTCCCCTTGAGAAATGATTTTAGAAATATGTCTCTTTTATCATTTGCTCCTAACTGCATTGGCAACTGCAGTTTCTTGGTGTAATAAAAAATGTTGAGAGTTAATATCACAAGGATTCTAAAACAACCTTCAGAGCAAGCTGTCTCCAGACACTGGGTTTGTGACCTAACTACCATAACGGATCAGTCAACTGATACCAAAATAGCGCATAAGTGGAAACCACAGTCACCAGGACCTTACACTTGGGAAGACAAGCTCCTCCATGGAAACGTCTGCTTCCCAAGAAACACCCAGGCAGAGCTGTCAGACAAAACAAAAACCAGTCCATCTACTAATACTATTTCAGAGGCTTCCCATGGTACCTGACCATCAGAATCTAGTCTGAGAGGAGGAAGAAGCCTCCCACAGTGGTCTCAGAGTCTTGGTTGGGAGGCAAAACCCAACTGATCCTAAGCTGTAGCTTCAAACATCGACAGGGTCGAATCAAACGCACTTCAATCTTTTCCTAAAGATTTTACATTCTAATCATTGACTACATTAACAGACTAAACTGCCACTTATGTAAGATTTATAGCCCAATCAGTTAATTAACAAACATTTCATCATTAATGTACTAAACATTTACTTAGTACTCTGTTAAAAATAAAAGGATGAGGTGCTTTTATATATTCTGATGTGAAAAAGTGACCACAATATGCCCTTAAATAGGAAAAGGCAGGTTATACATAAAACAGTCTCCTTTTTGCTGTTAGAAGTGTGCCTGTGTATTAAATACGCACGGAAGAGAATCTGGCAGCATGTACAGGCCTTGATGGCAGGGAAGGAGAAGGGCAAAACGGGCCATTTCCCCTTCTACTTATTTGTCTAAATTGTTTGATTTTTTAAAACAATAATGGCCCGTTGTAAGTATACACCACATTTTGTTTATCCAGCAGTGGACATCTGTGGAAAATATTTTAAGTGCAGAAGAAAAACAAAAATCTGTAAGAAATAAAAGCATGTCTACAAAAGGCTTAAAGCTATATATTTAAAAAGACTCTTGGAGATGGCTACTTAAAGAATAATTTATTAACTTCCCCCAAACAATAATCATATATTACTTTATAATCAGAAAAGAAGTTGATTTCTACTTTGCATAAACACTGAGTAGAAGGAAGAAGCTCCCTTGCTGGGTGAATTGAAGAGAACACTGTCAGGGCAAAGGGAGTGTGTGTAAAATGAGATGGCCATACAGCACTGTGAGCACTCATTGTCCATGGTTTGGTCAGTAAAACTGTGGCCATTTCCAGCATGGAGGGCTTGACGGTCAGGGAGAGCAGGGACAGTGTGCTGGAGAGAGTACACTTGATCATGAAAGCCAGGAGGCCTGAACAATAATAAGAGTCTGGAAAGACACAAACTGCTACTCCAGGCCCTGGCCGACTGTCTCCTCTCCTGGAAACACTCCTCCTTCAGATACCCACGGGTCTCCCTCCCTGACTCAGTTCCCATCTTTGCTCTAACCCCACCTTGTCAGTGGGCCCTCCCTGCTCAGCACTCTATTTGAAACTGCAGCACCGCCCTGAAGCATCCCTGATCCCTGTACTCTCTTGTGTTTATCTTCTCAGCACCTATCGCCTTCCAAGCCCTTACGTAAATCAATTTATTCACCACACTCATGGTTTGCCTCTCATCGCTGGAATGCATGCTTCACAAGCCAATGACTTTCCTCTCTTGTTTTACTGTTGTATCTTTAGCAACCAGCAATATGCCTGGTGTTTTTTGTACTGGCAGTAGCACTAATAGTAGCAGTCCTAGCAGCAGTAGTAGTAACAGCAACAGTGGGGGTGTGGTAGTTTTACCTTATTGTCATAGGCCTTCCTTTCTGTCAAGGCACAATTTAGGCTCAGTAAATGGTTGTCACATGAATGAATGAATGAATGAATTGCTAAAACTTCAGTGAGTACTAAGTACAATTTAAAATGCTTCATATCTATCATATCTGTTCACTCATAAACATTGGTGCTACACATCTCATGCCCCTTGCATTTCCACCCCACCCCCACCTCTTCTATCACATGCTCTTTTTTTCTCATTACACTTTTTTGTCTTGTTTTCCCATTGGGAGTTTTGAAATAATCCTTGTCTTATCCTATTCCACTACACTAGCTACTTTTATATGGTTACTTTCACATTTGGCACATCCTCACCAAGCCACACACACACACACACACACACACACACACACACACACACACAGAGTTCTCATCCCATTCCCACCCCCATCCTCACCACCAACACCATCAGAAGCAAGGGAAATGGGATTTCTTACTAAGCACAGAGGATGAAAACCTTAAAGACTGGACAATTCAAGGGAAAACCTCACCACGTGAATAAGCCACAAATCAGTAAGGACAATTTATGTTAATTTAGGAGGTTTATCGTAGCTCAAATGGAATAGTATGTGTCTAGAGTCCCTACTAAAAGCCCATTCTTATCATCCTTTTGAAGTTAAAAAGAAATTAGAAGAAAAGGAAGCTCAGAGAAAAGAAGAAGTTTCCCTGGCCGAGCCTCCAGCTGTGCCTCCTCCTCTCCCTCCTCCTGCTGAACCAGAAAAAGAGAAGGAAACCCATCCTCCAGATGAGCGTTCAAAAACCCCTCCTGCCAAAGGAAAGCCACCATCAGGTGATTGACAGAATAATTTATCATCCTGTTTGCCAGTTGTTTATTTTCACTTAGAAAGGAGTTACAAATTATGGTACCAGTCCATTAATCTAGATTCAGATTTTGAGCAACTTCAACCGTATGAGTCCAAGCTATATGCTCAGATGGAGGTAAAAAAGCCCTTAGTAGGTGACTGTCACAAAGCCTAGGCACTTCACCATGTAGGGGGGGACTGTGAAGCCCTCATACCCCTGATTAGAGTAAGTCCACAAATGAAAGGGGGGAAAGGCACAGAAAATAACCAGAATGAGCTTAGATTAGATCAAAAGGCCAGACTTCAGTGTGCTGATTTGCAGAGTATTAATTACATAGAGTGAGAGCATCTTACAAAAAGGAAAATGAGAATTAGCATAAGCAGTTGTCCACAAGAGTAAGGGATCAACAGTACTCATTAGAGACTAGAATTTATGTACAATTACTCTTCAGTGCAGTGTGGTTACGAGAGGGTAGACAAGTGCCTGACATCTCAGTAAACATGTATTTATAATGCACGATATGTATGGATAAAGAGCTTGTGTATAGAACGTTGTACAGCATAAGTTTTTTCTAAATTCTAAACCACTAAGGACCATTAAGTTTTGGGGTAGACAATGAAAATAATGATGAAAGCAAAGTGCTTACTTGTTGAAGTGTGTGATGTTGGCAGAATATCATTATCACTTTGGTGCTGTGCATAGGAAACAAATGTGTCTGTAGTTTGTGTCTTCAGCTTTATAAATGACCAGCTGTGCAGTCGCCCAAGCCTACCAAGGTGTATTGTTCCTAGTGTACCGTCTTGTAACCCCATCATCTTCCTGCTTCATGGAGATCTGAGATGGGTCTGAATGTTTGTAATTAAACTGATGTATACTAAACAATTACATTTGAAGACCTTAATAACATGTTATGGTCTATTAAAGACCATTGTATTCCAACCAGATGGGTCAAAATGTACAAACTCTAAAAAAACATTTTTTAGCATGTAAACAGTAAAACACAAAGCCATGAATTAAATACACACCCTTTCCCACTACCTCACTAGGAATTTTTAAAAAATTCAGAGATCTGGAGGAAAAATGGAAGTCACTAAAGGCCTAGTAGAACTGGGAAGACAGAGAGCCTGCGGTTACCCAACTCGGACAGGCCTTGAGCCTGTGTCCGCGGCTCTCCCTTCCGCTCCTTCCCGGCCTGCACACAGGCAGGAGGACCCATACACCTGAGCCATGCCCTCAGACCATTCTCTGGTGTTTCTGGTTATAACACAGTCCAGTCTTTACAGTGCTGAAGTTTTCTTGCAAATTTAAAGTTGTATTCTTGAATACTGTGCACTAGAGGAATAATAAAGTTATTGTTGCTTCAAAGAATGGTTGTATCTGTCTCTTTTTTCCACCAAAGACAGGGCTAGTGCCTGATCTTTAAAAATGTACAGATGGGTTGATCTCCAGGGGCCTAACTACTGCCTTCCAGCAATGACCAGAAAGAAGGACAGCTTGGGGCCCTGGGGCATTGATGGGGCAATAGAACAGGCCTCACTGCCCGTGTAGCTCAGAAAAGTTTGGGTAAGCAATTTTAGGAAGGAAATTTCCAGTAAGTTTGTTTATTTTTATATAAAAATTTACAGATTTTTTCAAAAGAGAACATTTCAAAACCAGAAACCTGAGACTTCTGAACATGTCCAACTTTCAAAAACCCAGTTACAATATCCTTTAGAAGCTGAGATGTAGAGAGGAATTATTTACTTAAAAATCAAGGTGGAAATGGGGTAAGGAATGAGGCCTCGTATACTGAGTGCTAAGTGATTTTTGTGCAAATATAGCTTTATTTTGGATGTGGATTTGCATTGTGTATGGGCTTCAAATGCACTTGGGATTAAGTTTGAAAACTTCACAGTGTTGGTCTATTAGAGAGTTTGTTATCAGATCTTTGACCAAATGTCAGAATTTAACATAAAACTAAAATTTTTGATGTGATAAAATTCATAGTACTCCCCATACTGCTATTTAAGAGTATTTTTCTTGAGATTTCAGAATACATTTTAGACCTGATAAAAAAAATAGGCAGAGTGCATGCTGGGCCCAGCAGAAATTAGGTTTGTCCACAATACTTTATAAGTTCAATGTGCTATGTATCTGTTTTTTCCTTTCATTTCTTTGTTGCCTTGAACTTAAGTTTAAAGCTGGTTGAACAGTTGGTTACCCAGAGTATTGTTATAAAAGGAACTAGAAGCTCATGTAGACTTTTATTATTATTACTATCATTATTATTATTTCTTAAATAATTTAGAAAGTCATTGCTTTTTATTTCTTAAAAAGCAACGAATTCAAATGTTTGGATGTTTATTTATGTATTTATTGATGAGTTTGGTGGTCAATTATTTTATAGAAATTAACAAAGTTTCAAAGTTACTCCTTCTCTGTCTTGCACTAGTCTCATTTCTATGGAATCTTGGTTGTTGGATCTGAGATGTTTAAATGTAAGTGATACATGTTATGCATTTACACATTCTTATAGCTAACTATCACTTCTAAATACAAAGAACAGGTTCAAATGGGGTCTCTCTATCACAGGCATTTCCATTGCCCCATATAGTCATCCTTCCACTGAAGAAAAAAACCTGTAGCTCAGGAGAAAGGGAGCAAAATGATTGAATTTATTTAGTGAATAATGCAGGATATAGTGAACTTTTTCAAGGAATTGATTTATTATTTGGGATATCTTATTGACCTCCAGATCATTAGTTCCCCATTTTTGCCTTTCCTACATACTTTTAAACTAGATTCCAGGAACCCCAAGATAAATATATTGAATCAACCCTTTGCACTGCAAGTTACAGTCAACAAAAAATGGAAATGCAGAAAGCACAAGGCAGCCAAGTGTGTGGTTCAAGAGAAGTTCAAGGATCCGCCCTATCAAAACAATGTGGTTATTTAGCTCTTCTTTAAGTAGTTTTGGCATTCTTATTACAGATCCAGTTGTTATTATGTAAGGATCATTCCACTGAATTAAATCCAAATAGAGACCTATGCTTCAGATAGATCTGTGACTGCCTTAAAACTCTGCCCCTACGTTGCATTGACCAATTCACTATCAAATCCACTACAAAATGTTAGTATTAAACTTAGGACTAAGCTTCTGTGTGACAGAATAGAATAATACCAATAAGGCTGTCATTTAAGAAGTTTCAATCCAATCGGTCTTCAGAAGAATTTTAACTCACAGTAAAGCCCTGGGCCATGCAATGTGGTTCACAAATGTAACTGTTTATCTGTGGGAAATAACACTGGATTGCTTATAAAGAATATAGCTCAGACTACTGAAGAAAACCATCAGTGATATTTGTGTGTTGAATTTTGTTTAGAGCCCCTGCATGGTAAGAGAGAATCTCTTCAGGAAGGAAAAGGGAAGAAAAGTGAAACTTCAGTCAAAAAGAAAGGTGCAGCAGATAAAGGTAGATGTGATTGAATATAATTCTGCATTTTCTAACTGTCTCAGTGAAAAAACTAGATTTGTATAGCTGGATACACTAAATACTTCTCTGGGCACTTGTAAATCACAAGACCCTGCTTCATGAAGAATATAACTTCAGTGTTTCTGCAGCCTGGCTCTTAGCCAAGGTCCTGATAGAAATAATTGTAATCCTTGTAAGAAATAATAATCCTTGTAAGAAATAATTTAGAGAATATCTAGCATACAGAATGTCTCCTCCTCAAAGACATTATAGGCGTTGTCCTTGGGCTAAAAGCTATGCCATCAGAAAGCTACATAACGAACCGTATTTCTTGGGTCCCCATGGAATTGCTTTCCTTGATAAGCACTTTGGTATAAAATCATCAGCTATCTTTCTGACATATTGTAGTGGAAGTGAAACTCTCATTATACCAAATAATCTGGTATTACATTTTCTAAAAGGATAGTATTCCCACTACATCATTCAGTGGCTCATATGAAATCCCAGGTGAGAAATTTCATTTAGAATGCAGGGACAATCAAATCTTTCTTATTCTAAGTGGTTAGATAATTAGGTAAATGATAGCACTTCCTTTTTTCTATCTTTCTGTCTTAAAGTTTAGAACCAAATTAGTGGCTCAGATTTAGTATCTGTGTGAGGACCCAGATCTCAGTATCTGCCTTTTAATTCCTCTCCTGGTTTCGATCTTCTACTTTTAGTGGCACTTTTCTTGACCCTAATTTCACTTATGTTTTATTTTATTTTATTTTAACTATTTCTGTGAAACAAGGGGATACATTTTTAAAGCAATTGACAGCTGGAAGAAGGAAATCCCAGCCTCTAAAAGCACATTAGTTAAATTTATGTTGAAGCTGCTATAACGACCAATTCATTAATTAGAGATTGAAAGGGAGTCACGGATACAGTGTTGACATTTTTCCAGGGTACATTCAAATGGTTGTAACAAAGTGTGTGCCTCTGTTTAACACTCATTACAAATTGCTGATGTAGTTGCCTCCCAAGAGCGTGTAACTTTTGCAAAACAATTGCTAAAAAGCAATCTTTATTTTCAGCATTTAAAGATGCATAACCATGAACCTCTAAGAGAATCTCTCTCTGATTATGTGACTTGATGGGCTTAAATAACTAAAGCTATTTGTTAAGTTAACACTGAGTTAAAAAATTTAGCTCAAATGTTAAGGGCCACAACTTATGCTCACTTCTCACCTGTTTATTTTAGTAGGAGAATAATTCTTACATTTAAATTATTCATCCTTTGCTTTCTCATTGTGATCAATAAAACCAGATGAAGGATTACCGTAGAATAATCAAAAGTAGGAGTTAACTATACCTAGGCACATGAGGTGCTAAATCGTGAGGTTAGACATGATACTGCTCATGCTCTTAAGAACATCCTTAGTTGGTAGTATACAGACTCTAAACAAACAGTGAGCAAGTGCAGTTCAACCAGCAAAATGTGTGCACTGGGGTGATGTAGTCAGCTCTGTTTAACTCCAAGGACTTTCAAAATCTTTTGCTTTTATTTTACTGAAATTGTATTATGTTCAATTATATTTGAAATAGGGGAGGAAAAAGAAACTCTTTCCAATCTTGCTTATAATTATATAGTTCTTGTTAGAGAAATTTGTCTTCAAGTGGCCACAGCATTATCACTTTTACTTCACTAGAGAGTCAGGTTAGAGGATGAAAAATGATCAACAGGACAAAATAGAGGAAAACTTTGGTTATTAACTGAACAAAGATTTTCCTAAATTTTTCTAAATTAAAAAAATAACTAGATACAATTTTAGATCTGTGGATGATGGATACTTTCTTTAAATATAGAAGTCACTTAAACTTCCTGAAAGATACAATTGCCAATTTTCCCTCTACATATGATCCATATATTTTTAAGTAGTATAAAAGTAGAAGATAGAGTTACTTCCTAAAGAGCATTATTATTTACTATTCATTAAATAAATATATTTTGGGGAAAAAATGTGCTCCCAATTCTACTGGCATCTATAAACTGCATTTAAAATCTTGATAATAAATCTGCAGATAAGTAGAACTTATCTAAATGGAATAAATTCCTAAACTCTAACGGCCTCGATCCTGTAAGGAAATATTGGCTCTTCCTGAATTAGGGTACTTTGGTCAGTCACATGGTTTTTCAGACTATCAAGATGCCCCTTAACTGGTCTAGATTCCCCTCTTGATGCTGAACTGAAAATTAGGCCTCTTCCTCCTCCTTTTCCTCCTCTTTCTTCTCTTCCTTCTTCCTCTCTCTTTCCCTCTTCTCCTCTCCTCTGTCTTCCCCCCTCTTTTTCTTCTCTCTCTTTAATGCCTTAATTCAACCAGGCTTATGGCACACCTACCTTCATCCTCACTGTCTGACTGTAGCAGAAAAATCTGTTCTTCCCCTCAGAAGCCCAGTGTCTCATGCAGAGAATACAGGGATATTCAGGAGCTACACTGGCCCTTCTTCTCCTCCCCAGCTCTGGCTAACTCCTACGATGACCTCCTTCCAACCCACTCCTCCCCTGGGCTTCAGGGACCACCAGACACCACTCCCGTTATAGCTACCCTCTTTCCATTCAGTGGGAAGAATTTGATTTGCCAGTTTATGCAGCATAAAATAAAATATACCTCTCTCTAAACTCTAAACTTTTTAAGAATCATATGTTCATTATGGAAGCAAAGACAGATGAAAATAAAATATCAGATTGCTTATCCTAACCAAATGAATACAAGAAGTTGTATTGCTTTTAAATAACTGTTATTGGTATTAGTGGTTCATTTCTGGGCTGTAGAAAATGAGGTTTTCAACTTTTTATTAGGTGATACTGCCCAGAGTTGCTTAAAAATTAATTAGCGAATTTCCTGAAGTCCAAAGCAGTCATAAGTCATTCATCCACCAGAATCTGGTCCTGCTCATCTACTTGTAATGGAATGATTTCATATACATGTTTAAGGTTCTCCTAAAGGAAAATCTTCAGGAGGAAAAGTACCAGGAAAGAAATCCCCTGCTGAATCCACAGTTGTGCCACCTGCCCCGGCAGGGCCACCGCCACCTAAGCCAGGGTCGGAAGAATGGGTCTATGTGAATGAACCAATTCCTGAGGTATGGCAGTTTATATTCAAGTGAGTAGAACCTGTTCTTTTTACTGTTCAGAGTAAGAGTCACACTATTATTGGCAGCGTCCAGAGGCCTTTCATATATACACACATATACGTTCATCAGAACACCACGGCCATTTTTTGAGACTACTCATTAAATCGCATCTCTCCCTTTCCCCACTCCCTCGAGTTTCTGAGTCATGCTTTGAACTCCTGCTGAGTGCTGAAGTGGGGAGAACGAATGTGAGGATGAATGTTCTTCCCATGAACAAGCAGAGAGGCAGTTTCCTGGAAAAAGGACTTCCCAAGAACACATACCCAGCAAATGATAGCCCTTCTTCCATAGTCTCACGCCCACATCATAGGGCTCTCAAAGGAAGTTTACCCTCAGACTTTTGGAAACAGTAGGAGTGTTTTGAAGCTAACTAAACTAGTACAAGAGCAGGTAATTATCTGGCCTGAGAACTTGAAACAAGTGCACTAGGGTAAGGCAAGGTGATGCCCCAGGTGAGCCCTGGAAGCTCCATTCAGTTCTTTGTTCTTTGACAACTGCAAAGCCCGGTGTCCACCTAGACACCTCTGGTTGCCTTAATAGATAAATCATAAAGGGCATTAATGTTTTGGGACCCAATCAAGAATTGTAGTGCCAGGCATTTGGGCCCCATTCAAGAATTGGAGTGACGATAGTGTTGCCGTTACCATTGAGGTTTCCTAGGGAAATGTCCTATCTCTCCAGTCACCTCATAGACTCATTAATTAATGTGCATTGAGGGGGAAATTTCTACAGAAAATATGTGAAGACGAGAACAGGAAATTATATAATTATGAATGTTTATAACTGATATCACTAAGCCAAACAGAAGCTACTTTTAAAAATAAATATATTTAAAAGCTTCCGTAAATGCAGAATATCAAAGTGGTGGTTGGAAAGGAGGTAAAGCTTAAATAACATTATTTGGCAGGGGTGGAGAGTAAGGGACAAAAATATTGAAATCCAGTCTTTAACTCCAAACCTTGAAGCCCTTGAGAAATAAAATCTTAGAGGACAAGAGAGAAGAAGAGGACAGGAGCAGAAAAATCAACCCTAACCCTACAATGTGGCAGCAGCTGCCACGCCGATCTCCTGGTGGTCAGGATTCTGGCAGAAAACAGACAATAAGTGAAAAAGTTAAAAAAGAACTATTTACATGTATGTGGCCAGTAAATAAGGAAACCTATAAGGAGTAGATTATTATCTCCAAAAGAGGGACACCTGGGAGCCATAGTGGCCCCTAGGCTGAGAAGGTGAGGACCCTCAAGAGGACCTCTGCATGGAGGGGGCCATCTGACAGGAGCGCGACCTTCAGCAGAAGGATGCAGCTGCCCACATGCAGAGACCCAGCAGAAAGGAGCAGGGACATACATCCCAGGCCTCCCGTTCTTCCTGCTCTCTTATCACTTGCCTAGGAGGTGGAGGGCCAACATGTTTCCTGTAGTAGTTCTCATAAGCTGGTCTTCCAGGGCACTGATCAGGGTGAAGAATGAAGGACAATGAGAAGGTGTGCAGCACGGACTTCTACTAGCCTAGACCAAACCATGGAGAAAGCACCTTCTCTACAACCAGAAGAATCCTGTAAAACAAAGCAGGCCACATGGTCCACTCTAGTCCTTTTCCCACTCTAAGCTTCTCACACAAGTTGCAGAGCTTACCTGCAAGGAAGAGGAAAGAGAAGGCCAGTTAAACTTGAATCTCAGTTGATCGACAAGTTTAACTGGGCATCTTATACTTTATCTGGCAACACTAGTTCCAGGTCTGCAAAGGACCCCAGGTCTATTACCTCAATAGACATGGTAGGGGAAGGAGAGAAAAAGAGAAAGAGAGATTGCTTCTATACCTGGCTCTCTCAGGTAGAGTCAGCAGCCAGGTTCAAGGAGAGCCTTGGTCCCTCTTCCTGTGCAAGCCACAAGGGAAGGTACAGAGAGAACCAAGGCCATTAAAGTGGCAATTAAAGTCAGAGGTCTTAGCTTTCCAGTTCTGAGGCTTTGGAAAATATCTGCTTTGCCTACCAATTTACTTAGTCTTCTCCAGTGGAAAGGGTATTATTTAATTGCAAAAGATAGATCTGAACATTTAGTCACGTCTCATAAGTTTGAGTCATCATACCTAGAAAAAATGACATCCCAGAGACTGGAAGGATCTAGAAAGATGACATTATCAATCACTCACATCACAGAAGATACGGGAGATTCTGGAAGACCAGATGTAGGCAAATGCCTAGATATTTAATGAAAGACAGATGAGATTTAGTAACACACAGACCGAAAATCTATATATTAATTCCTGACAGAAGTTGAGAGATGACTATTGAATGCATGACCTCTGAGCACTTACAAAATACAAAAATAATCACCAAGAGCCCACCCAGGTTCATGAAGGCTCCATCCTGCTGGTTCATTCCTTTTCCTTGATTACAGGGTTGGATAGGTGAGTCAAGGAGGTGCCATAGACATCGTGCTTCTGGGGCTCAAAACAGTATTTGATAATTTCTCATGAAGTTCTTGCAGATGAATGAGAGCCGAGAGCAGGATGTTGGTTTGATTCGGTCCACTCTTCAGTGGTCACTCTTCATGCAGAGAGTGTTAATTCATGGACTGAAGTCACGCAGGAGAGAGGTCTAGCAGTGGGCTTGTTTAAAATGGTCTTCAACGCCGTTCTGAATGCCACATCCTTTAGGAGAGATCGTGACAACAAGAAACCAGAGAGGGGAAACCAGAGAGGATAAGGAAAGGGTGATAAATAGTGCATAAGGAGCTTTAACATAAGTGTAAATAATTGATTTAGATGAACAAATACTTGCAGTATGGTTAGGCATAGAATCATAGGCTTTCAAAACTAGATAGAGTCATCCAGTGCTCTAAAATTTTAACAGATGATAAAACGGTTCAGGTGAGTCCACTTACATTCATATGCACATTTACTGAGTACCCATTACATGCTGCAGTGGATGCTGGGAATCCCAAAGCAACCAATTGTTTCTGCATCGCAACCTGCCCATCCTCAGTAATAGCTCTACATATTTGACAGGCAGTCCTAGGGAAGACTGTGCGAATGTAGCCTGTCCTCTCCAAAGGGCACAGTGAGACCGAGAGGTGGAAACTACAGGAAGGCAAATTTTTGTTCAACATTAGGAAGGATTTTCCACTTACATGAGTTATGTGACATTGTAGGGGCTGCCTTAGAACGTCAGTCTTATTGCATCGTTGAGGCCCATGGAGAGACTGGGTAATCTATCTGTAGCACTTGGCATTTCCGAGTTGGAGAGAACATTAGCCCAGATGCTCGCTAAGGTCCCCGTGTGTGATTTGCTAAGTAAACAAAGGCACAGTCAATAAGGAAATAAGTAGCCCTGAAAATTTATATTGAATATAAGTATCCTTGATTTTATTTCATTTTGATTACTTCTTGGTTTTGATTGTTTATTTGCATTATTAAAGATGACATAAAAGAGACTTTCTAATTTTCATGGTGCACAGAGCAAAAACCCCTCATCATTGACGTGAACACTAGGTGTTCTCCACACAAAGTGATTTTCCAGCTTAGGTGAAATGCAACATCTGTGGCAGTTTATGCAGTCAATAAATATTTCTTGAGCACCTACTATGTCCCCCAGACACTGTGGAAATTATAGGGAAAACTGCAAAGTGGCAAGTAACCCAATCATTGTTCCTGGCCATGAGAGACAGAGAATTAGCTCTGGGGAAGCAAAGGAAAAAGGACCAAGAAGCTGCAGAGAGAACGTTTAAATATTAGCTATTGTATCTTGATCTTCTTGCTTATTTATTGCTCTTTTGGCTCAATTATTCAGGATAACTTCCACTTTGAAATTGATTTGTATGCTTTACTGTTTAACAGGAAATACCTTCATTTTTAGTGCCTTACTGGGAACTAATAGAAAATTCCTACATAGACTCCATCAAAGCAGTGCTCAGGAACCTGAGAGAAGATTGGCATATTGTGCTTGCCTTCTTATATGAGACCAGGTGAGGGAAGGTTCCGAAACTGGGATTGTGGGGTTGACAGGCAGGACATGCAAGCTGCAGCTCATTCCCTTGATACCTTACAGAACAAGTTTCCAGCAGTTTCTAAGGCGCCCGGATCACAAGCAAGATTTTGTATCTCAGTGGCAGGCCGACTTCAACTCACTTCCTGAAGACTTGTGGGATGACGAGGAAACAAAGGCAGAAGTCCACCAAAGAGTGAACGTAAGGGAGTTTGGGACCCGCTGCGCCAGCTGCCCACACTCTCAAAACCCGAACCCATTCCTTTTCTTGCTTCCCTGAGGTGCGAGGATGAGGAGGGAAGTGGTCTGAAGGCGTACTTTAAAGAGTGACTGTGGAAAGGCCCACTGAGAAGGTTGGCATTTGAGCAAACTCAGTTCAGAAGTGACTGGGTGAGCCATGCAGATATTTGGGAGGAAAGTGCATCAGTCACAGGGGAAAACAAAGGCAATGAAAGGCACTGGAAGTGGGCGGGGCGGGGGGCGGTGCTTGGGGTGTTTGAAGAATAGCAAAGAGGCAGGTGTGGCTGGCACAGGGTGAGCCTGGACCAGAGGGGTTGATGAGGAGTCAGAGAGCCCCCAAGAGACCAATTATTTGAGGCTTTGAAGGTCATTATTAGGGTCTGAATGAGAGCTGGAGCCTTCGGGCCTGGATTTAAAACAGTCTATAGTGGAATAAAAGCAGCAGGGAGAACAGTTGGGAAACCATTTGAGAAGCTATTAAAATTAGGTGAAAGCATCATGGTGACTTGGCTGGGCAGGGCGCTGGAGAGTTTAACTGAAGAGGTATTGAATTAACAATAGTCCCAGTAAAGCTGAAGTATTTTAGATGTTCTTAGATGTTCCTCAGACAGTTCTTAAACATATCTGCCTTTTCTATCTTCTCTGCTTATTCATGATGTCAGCCCTCCTATAAACTTCTTCCCCATATCAGTCAGGTGATTGTTGATCGAATGAGAAAATATTTTTACATTTAAAATATCTTACGTGGGATTTTCTTTCTGAGTTTGACTGTCTCACATTTGCTTAGATAAATTAGATAATAAAAAGAAGCAAAATTTAAAATGGCAAATCCATAATCCCATTGCCATTAGATAACCATTATTATCACTTTGAGACAATCATTTTTGCAAAATATTTGACTGCAACACAGATATTATTTTGTGACATTCTTTTCAACGTAGAATATGTTTTCTTTCCCAACAAAAACTCATCTAACTCGTTTTATATCTAAAAGATATTTCATTAATTGACTCTATCCAATATATTTACAAATATCTGTTGAGCACCAACTTTATATTATAGAGAATTACATAGTCAAATTTAATCCAGTAAAATATTCACCACATCCTTAATTATTTTCTTGGGCAAATTTTTAAAAAGTGGAACTGTTAGATCTAAAATGATGCTTATTTTTTAGTACTTTTATTGTTTATTTTTTCATTGAATTTATTCGGGTGACATTGGTTAATAAAATTAGATAGGTTTTTAAGCATCTTAAAAACCTACAATTTTTACTCCAAGTAACAGATTATGAGAATGCATCAATTACTTGGTTCTATCTTTTTTGTTAATTGTTGCCAATGTAATGGGCAAATATATGTATTGTATTTTGCCATGTATAGTGCACAATATTTTGCCCAAACTTTTGAGAGAAAAATAAGGACGCACATTATACATGGGTGGTACTAATTTTGTATCTATATAAATGTTTTTAATTGTTTTATTTATGTGTATGCATTAAAAGTGTAACTCTAGAAAGCAATAACAATATCTGTATATTCAAAAATAAGTGCTAAAATTCCTTTGTAATACAAAAAAACAAGTATCTAAATACAAACAAATAAAAAATGGAATTAAAAAATTAAAATGAAAGATTTTTTTTCTGCAAGTTTGGGCCAAAAACATGGGTGCACATTATACATGGCAAAATATGAGTAGGTATTTTTTGTAATTTGCATTTATGTTTATACAATAGAAGTTGACTATTTTTTCATACGTTTATTGTTTATTTCTCTTCCTCCTGAAGACTTTATGATTTCTTTTGATTTTTCTGTTTCAAGTGTGCTCTTTTTCTTTTACTGATCTGTAAGACCTCTTTCTATATTGAGGATATAAACCATTGGTTTCTCATATATTACAAATATATTCCCAGTTTAATATTTGCTGTAATATTATTATTTTTTGAAGATGCAATTGGCTCTATGAAGCGATTTCTGAGTCCAGCAGCGTCCCATCCAGCAACTAGAAGGGCACTTGCCTTTCTATTATTTTAGATGAGTTTTAATATGCAAAAGTCCTTTCATGTTTATATAGATAAAAATAGACATTTTTTCTGCATAGCTTGTCCTTGTGGTGAATTTAAAAATTTTATCTCTAGCTGTGGCCAGTGTGGCTGCGCTGGTTGGAGCGACATTGCATAAACCTAAAGGTTCCGGGTCAGGTCCCCCTTCAGGGCAACAGAAGCTCACATGGAAGGTAACTGGTCCAGGTTTCTCTCTCTCCTTGGTGTTTCCCTCTCTTGCTCTAAAAAGAATAGAAAAAATTTCCTCAGGTCAGGATAAAAAATACATCTCCACTCCGAGGTTATATAATTAATTTATTTTAATATTCTTAAACTTATTTTAATTTTTCAGTTGCCTAAAATATGGGAAAATTTGCATGTATTTAAGATGGATACTAGAAAGTAACTTAGAGCCTCTATTTGGAAGGTTCAGTGAGTTTTGGCCAAATCGACCACATTAACATTGTAATTCTTTTCAGCAGTGGATTCTCCGCAGGATAAAGAAATCTGTGAGGTGTAAAAAAGTAAACCTGCACTTGCTTCAGGCCCTATGTCTGACTCTTTCAGTTTTGGATGGGCCCTTACATCACATTCAGTTTTTACAGTGTCATGGGTCATTCAGACTGAAGCAATCATTCTATTCTTTTTTTGACATTCTTATACTTACATGGTCTTACAAAAACTGATGAGAGTAAAGTAAGAACCTCTGTGACCGCTACATTTCTCTCCATTTCCTTGCTACAGTTTTTGACTTGCAGACTTGATTGCAGCGGCAGTGTTTTGGGGGGAAGGGTTAGACCACAGAAAACGTAGCCACCATGAGTAAAGTGACCCGCAGTGCATTTGTGGCAGACACGGGCATGTGATTTGGTGTCTTTCAGATGGACTAGGAGCAAAATAAACATTTGTTGAATGAAGTGCCTTAGGTGTAAATTTTCTTTAGGGACATTTTTAACGCAGGCAAAGGATTTTAGTTTTATTCCACTGAGGCCATTGGAGCCATGCCTCTAAAGCGTGGCAGTGAGGCTTCTTTCTGTCCAGGATTTACGAGACCGCCTGTGGGACATCTGCGACACCCGGAAGGAGGAGGCTGAGCAGGAGCGTCTGGACATCATTAACAAGAGCTGGTTGCAGGACTCGGTCGGGATAATGATGAACCACTTCTTCTCGCTCATGCAGGTAAGAGCGCCGGTCGCCGTGACCCAGACTCTTCCCACCACAGCCAAGTTCCTCTGTAACAGGGCCTTGGGGGATGAGAAGGGCCTGTCCAGGGCTCATTTTACCCACAGCACTCTGCCTGCTCTGAGCTCCAAGCAGAGGAAGGTAAAAGCTGAAATAAATCTTTTTGGTCCCAGCCAAACCAGCCTCAGAATTGCCGGGGTCTTAAGCAACCACTCACCAGCTCTGCTTCCAGGAGATCTAGAGCTGTGGTGGGGACAGCAGAGATGGGGACTCTGATGGTTGTCACCTCTTTAGCCTCTCACAGTGGACACCTAAAGTGGCCCTGCCCCCAGGTGTGGGCTAGATCAGACTCAGCAGGCATCGGATTCCAGAAACAAGGTTGTGTCTGGATTGAAAAGCAGGCCATTTGTCAGAACCTGATTAAACTTAGATTCTCAGCCTGTTAAATAGACAGTCGCACTGGACACAAAGACAGACTGATTGTATTCCCAGATGACTGTCAAGAGCAGGGGAGGGAGCACAGACCAGGTGTGGCTACCCAGCTCTGACAAGAACAAGGGTGAAGGGGAAAGGCGAGTCATAGTCTACCTGTATTTTCTTACTGGCCTTGCCTGAAGACAGGGTAAACCTTCTCCTGTTCTTGTGACAGGAGGAAGCCATACCACTTGGAGCAAATCACCTTCCCAAAGGAACCGAGACCTAGGGGCTCTCTGCCTTGATGCTACCATTTCAAACATATGCTTCCCAGTGATAGAGGGGGCTGCACCTCCTCTCAAGCAGCCCCTCATACCCATGCCCCTCTGACAGCCATCACTCTGTTCCATCCATCCATGCCTCTGTTTCTTTTTGGTCTTAACTTCCAGAAAATTTATTTCAATCTAAATGGTTTAGAATAGTGCTCACAGAGCTTATTCAGAAAATATGTACAGATAAGGTCATTTTCCTTGGCAATTAACATGATATTTGCTATGAAAGGCAGAAGTGAACCGTTTTCAAGATACAAAGAGACTCCTTCAGGATTATTACCGGGCAATGGAATGCAAAATCCCAACGGAAGACAACAAGAAGTTCATTCACATCCCGCTGCTCCAGCTGGATGGTAGAGACGCTTCGGAAAGCCACCTCAGGTAAGTAAGACAGGCTCCGGTGCTCCCCTGTAACTGGTCTGAGCACGGAGCTCTGTGACTTTAAATTGAATACCACTCATACAAAAAAACACACCCCTGTATCTGCAAATCCAAAAAAGCTCTAAAAACCGAAAACTTTTTCTAACTCACTTAAGACTATCAGCATGCGTATTTATCCCACTTATTGGGAATATTTACTCATTTTTGCCGCAGAGGTATAGTGTGCTTTGTTACAGAATGCTTCCACAGACTCTGCCAGGGATGTTAGGGAAAATGTAGTATGTGTGAATTCTGAATTCTGAAAACACTTTGGACCTCAGAGATTTCCAGTGACAGACTGTGAACCGCTCTCATTTTATGAAAGGTCCTGATCTGCTCTGTGTATGTCTACATTATGTTACATAAATGAAAATTGAAGGGGCTATGAGTCTTCTTTTACAAGTAAGAAAATTGAGGAATAGCCCTGGCTGGTGTGGCTCAGTGGACTGAGCAGGGGCCTGCGAACCAAAGGATCACGGTTCAATTCCCAGTCAGGGCACATGCCTGGGTTGCAGGCCAGTTCCCAGCAGGGGACACACAAGATGCAACCATACGTTGATATTTCTCTCCCTTTCTCCTTCCCTTACCCTCTAAAGATAAATAAATAAAATCTTTAAAAAATTTTAAAAACAGAAAGAAAATTGAGAAATAATGAAGCCTTAGTCATATGTGATTATGACTTTATGAGCCTAAAAGACATTAATAATCTAACATGAGATTGGTGCCCACCAGAGAGTTAACCTGGTGGTAAAGGTAGAACAAAAATTACGTTTTCACCTGTGCCATATAAAAGTTTTGTAAATAATTTTTGTAGACCCAGTGGGTAGGGATGGGAGAGGGGCAAGAACCCAAATGCTGAGAAGCTGTAAATGGGTACAAACTGTCTTTAAGGAAGAGGGGGCGAGAGCGGGGTGAGTCCTGTGATGTGGCCCCTCCATGAAACACTGAAAGAGCAAAAGCGAAGAACTCAAATAAAATAATAAGATAGAAAGCTCCAAAGTTTTTAAGTTATCTGAATTCATGAAAAATAAATTCATAAAATAGAATTAAGAATGTAAGTAACATTTTCTCATGACCAATCGTCAGATCATGAGAAAGCAAGAAATTGCGGGCATGAAGGAAGGAGAAAGAAGTTAGATTTTTTTAGATGATATACAGGCACTGAACATTACATCCAATTTCCAAGCTGAGTTATGTACTGTAGATTAAATGCGGTACACGTACTTTATTTTACAAGCTTGCTCAGTCAATACAGGTAGCAGGAGCTGCTCAAACTAAATGTGGGGTAGTGAGTGAGTTCTGAGTCAGATAGATCTGGCTTCACCCCAGATAGATCTGGGTCTGTCATTTACCAGCTACACGTACACAATGTAAGATAACTGGACTGCTTGGGAAGGTCACTGCAACTCTCCTAAGCCTTGGTTTCCTTAACTGCAAAGCCAGGTTGTTGTGAAGATCACAGAAATCTAAATCCTCGAAGCACTGAGAACCATGTCTGGGAATCAGAAGACTTGAGATTTAGTTCCAGTAATTCTCATTAAGTGGTGACTATTATTGTTATGGCGTAATATGATAGTTAAACTGTACTGATGCACACTATTTTAATTGTGAGTATTGCATGTTCTTGCTTTGTTTGTTTTACCCTCCCCTTTTCCAGAAAGGATTTGAATAAACCGGAACACAGTGGGGTAATACAGTGCTCTAAGCCCCTTTCTTCTCTCTCTAGACTTCTTCCATCGAGTCCCATCATGCCCCTGTCAGGCCCATCTGTAAACAAGGAGACATGTAAACAAACACAGGAGACATGTTTAACTCAGCAAGCTGCTGACAAGAACTTTGAAATTAAAAACAATAAAAAATTCCAAAGGCAATATGAACCTTCATGGCCATCAAAGGAAGCCAGGTTTCAACGTCTCCAGAAGCAGCGCGTTTCGTCCTTAGCACAAAATAGCAACACAGGCATAATGGGAAAGCTATTAATGTTGGTCAGGAGAAAGAAACGAGCAACAGAACAGCCAGTTCTTATTTTCTTCAAAACAACACAGCACCAATCTTAACCTCAAATCACTGCTAGGAGTCTACTCTTAATCAGTATATCAACCAAGCCACCAATCAACCACAGTCTGTTTGACAAATGTAGGGAAACCAGCACAGTGTTAAGCATTTTCACATAGCTTGTCTACTTTATCCCTTCAACAACATATAATAACTGATAATTAGTTAATAGCTAATAATTAGTAATTACTAGTAATTAGTAATAGTCATAGTGATATTATTATTATTATATTTGTATTATTTCAGGAGCAATAGAGCCTCAGAAAGCTGTAACATGTCACGTTGCTGTCTACTGATAGGGGCAGAGCTAGTTAGACCAGAGTTTCTGCTGGTCACCACATTCTAAATTGAAATTATTTTCTAAACAATATACCCCCACTCTGTTCTCCAAAGCAAGGTGTTGGGAAATGCATGCTGTACCGTATTAAACATCTAGAGATAATCATGCAACCTTGCCTTAGCTTACAAAACATATGAGTCCCATGTGTCTGGGACTGGGATTTGGCACTGCTTGACTACTGAAATGTGAACTGTCCTGTGAGTGGACATGTACTGAGTGGTAAGTAGCTCCTTGGCACATGGCCATTACAGGCACAGCACACTGTCAGGACTCAAGAACTCTAAGAATCAAACAGCCAAGTTCAAGAAACCCTGTCTGATTTTTTTTAAATTCTTGTTTCTTCATATTTTTCTGTTTGGTCATTTTTTTCTTCCTTTTGGTCCACTCCCTTAATTTACGTTCCAGTTTCCTTTCCATCACTATTAATGGGTACCAGAAGGTGAAGAGAAAGACCAAGTGGAAAACTTATTTGAACAAATAATAAAGGAGAACTTCCCCAATCTGGCAAAGAAAATACACTTCCAGGAAATCCAGGAAGCTCAGAGAGTCCCAAAGAAGTTGGGCCCAAGAAGGAATACACCAAGGCACATCATCATTACATTAGCCAAGATTAAAATGAAGGAGAGAATCCTAGAAGCAGCAAGAGCTAAGGGGACAGTCACCTACAAAGGAGTTCCCATCAGACTGTCAGCTGACTTCTCAAAAGAGACCTTATAGGCAAGAAGGGTCTGGAAAGAGGTATTCCACGTCATGAAAAGCAAAGACCTACAACCAAGATTGCTCTATCCAGCAAAGCTTTCATTTAGAATGGAAGAACAGATAAAGTGCTTCTCAGATAAGGTCAAGTTCAAGGAGTTCATCATCACCAAGCTCTTATTATATGAAATGTTAAAGGGACTTATCCAAGAAAAAGAAGATAAAAAAGATGAACAGTGAAAGGACAGCAAACTCACAGTTATTAAGAACCACACCTAAAACAAAAGCAAACTAAGAGGACAGCTAGAACAGGAGCAGAACCATAGAAATGAAGATCACATGGAAGGTTAGCAACAGGGGAGTGGGAGGAGAAGGGGGGAGAAGGTACAGAAAATAAGTAGCATAGATGGTAGGTAGAAAGTAGACAGGAGAAGGGCAAGAATAGTAGGGGAAATATAGAATCTAAAGAACTTGAGACACGTGGACATAAACTAAAGGGGGGAATGGTGGGGAAGGGGGCGTGCAGGGGGGAGGGGAATGAAGGTGCGGAAATAGAACAACTGTAATGGCATAATCAATAAAATATATTTTAAAATAAAAATTAAATTAAATTAAAACCCTGTCTGATGCTTCGAAAAAGGCTAGGTAATTGTTTGCAGGGGTTCACAATCAGCTTTTTGAATCACCACTAGGTTCCCCTGCAACTTGACTCTGCCTTAGCAACTATGTGTTGTCATTGTTGCTCCTGACTCTCCTCCACAAGAGTCAGCAAAGGCATCTCTAGAGCTCCTCTCTCTCCCACCCCCCTACTCCTTGCTCAAGTTGAAAGCTCGCACTTTCTGTCACTGAGATGGATGCCAGTCACAATGAGCACTCTTACCTGTGGATCTCTCCTGCCCCTGTTGGCCTTTTAGATCCTGGGATTGTTAAGGAATAGAATGCTCACAGGGCAGCCCTCAACTTTCTATGTGGAGCAGCAATATGACTGACAAAAGGGCGAGGGAGAACATGGCGCTGTGTTCCCACATCACTTTACAGAACAGTGAGACAGGCTCAGCCACCCATACACAAGAGGGGGAGTCTCCTGGAGCTCTTCTCCACTCATGGCCAAAACGTTATCATCTCTCTGGGGAGAAACCCCCTTGAACACCCTGCTTTTTAACTGTCTGCTTCAGGAAACCAAGTGCTGGTCATCTTAAAGAAGGGATGCCCACTTCCATGAGGTTTGCTTTTTCATTAATGATTTACTCCTTGTTGGCAGCTTATGTCCTGGATCAATTTCAAAATTGCATTTCTTCATAATTGCCATCATTTAATCCCCTCTTCATAATCACTAAGAATTAAACCTGAAAATTAAGTTTTGTCATTGTTTCTAGTTTTCTCTTGCTTTTAAGACATTCTAGACCACAAAAAAAAAAAACCATGAATACAGCCTTTTGTAGTCTTTTCTTTCTTTAAAGAGTTTTACCAGGAGAACTTTGAAAATTGAGATTTAAAGCAAGACAACAAAATTTGCATGGTCATGAAAAGTAGAATTCTGTTTAATAAAATATTTATATTTCTTTTTTGTCTTCCAAAGAACTCCTCTAGCTTCTCGAATATCTGTTTCTCCGGATTCAGCTGTCTCCAAATCCAAACCAAAAACCATACTGAAAGTCAAGATTGACCACTCGCTGGAAAAAGTAGAGTTAAACCTCGAGGCAGATGAGAAGTTGGTGATGGACACCTGGCAGCAGGCTTGCTTAGCGGTATCTCACATGGTAAGCTGTGCTTTTTCCTGTCTGTAATGCCCATTACAGTCCTTTCAGTAATGCCCATACATCAAATACCAATGTCGGTGACATGCTGTGGATGAAAAACTTACATTATGTTCACAAGCATTGTATACATGTATATTCCAACTTTTTCCCAAAAGAAATACAAAGTGAAACCATTAAAAGCAGCAATTATGTGAGATCAATAAAGGAGTGAACCAACACTTAGGTTATGTTTTATGCTGGGCCAGACAGAGTTCCCAGTACAGGGCCCCCAGGGGCCAATCAGGAAATGTCAATGAGGTGCGTCAAGTGTAAGGCAGTAAGGGAGGGCAGGGACTGTGGCCAAATGGAATTCACACTGTTGTCTGCAGATGCATGGGATTCTCGGCCCTGACCAACTTTGCCATATAAGGATGATGCTCAGTATGACTAGATTTTTAATTTTCTAAGAAAAGCCAGAAATGCATATTTTATGTGAAATATGAAAATTCATATTTTAATATGTTAGAAATAAAATCAAAATTTAAAAAATTTATAGAACCAAGCAAAATATAAATCTGCCCTTTTGGACCCTAGTTTATAACCTCTGTTGGGCATTTTACCTACATCACCTGTGATGTGTTATTATCCTCTTTACATCGGAAAATGAAGGTACAGAAAGGTTAAGACACTTGCCCCAGGTCACACTCATCAGGTAAATGTCAGAGATGAGGGTCTGTATGACTTCAGGGTTCACATCCTTTCCACCTTCCCTGAGAGGTAAAAAGATGATGGTCCCTGCCTCAGCCTGAACCAAATGCAAGGACACAGGGAGGGCACGCAGGTAACCTCAGTCCAGGCAGCAGCCTCACCCACACACAGTCTAACTCGGGGACCACTGCTAGGGTCGCCCTGCAGCCCTGGGTCCACAAACGTGGTTCCCACCTTCATTCCTTCTGATTTTCCCTGCGCTATCGCATTTGAACAGAAAGCAGTGCCAACTTCCCAAATGGCTTCATGGAAAAGGTGGAAGAGGATCCTGCATCACAGTCTCTCTTGGAGAGCAATTGGCACTTCTGATTGGGCATTTTCCAAGTCCCTTCCTGGCCACTCTGCCTTCAGGGCTCTTTCTCTGGCATTGTCCCACGGCACCCTCAGTGCCTCCTTTCTGCCACCCCCCCTTTGGTTCCACTTTCTTTCTTTTCACCCTCTCGAGAGTGATTGTCAATTCTTCTCATTGTCTTAACTTCTTTTAAAAATCATTTTAGTCACACATAAGAAAAGTGCATGAAACATCACTGAATGGCTTAAAGAACCCACCAAAAGTGCACACTCATGGAACCACCGCATGGGGAAAAAGAAAAAGTCTGCTCCTGCCAAGTCCTTCTGGTGGCCCTTCCCAGCCCCGATGCTCTCGTCCCTGCAAAAGGGAACCTTGTTTCACCTGCTTAGTAATCATTTCCTTGATTTTCTTAAGAGGTTGTTTTACCCATATTTATAACTCTAAGCATTATAGGTGAGCTTTGCTTGCTTTTGAGCTTTCAATAAACAGACTCATACCTTTTGTCTCCTTGTGTCTTCTTTTGCTCCATAGTATTTGTAAAATTCATCCCATCCTCTTGAGTGTAGTTGTATTCTGTTCAATTTTGTTGCTATGTAGTATTTTCATTATTAAAATATCTCACACTTCATTTAAGCAGCTACCCATTCGGGCTCCCAGTCTGGTTCCTTTCTGGGTACTGCTGTGATGGACGCTCCCATACATTCCCACGGATAAGCACTGCACCCTTGACTGTTGGGTATGTACCTAGGAGAGTGCGCCATCTTCAGTGTCAGTAGACAGTACTATACGGAGTACTTCCGCTTTCCCAGGCAATATCGAATCCTGTCCCCATTTGACTGCAGGGTCATTGTTGTCAGCAGCTCGATGACCACCTATCATAAATTAGGCCTGCTGCACTGCTCGATTCGCCTACCCCCACACTCAGACCACACCTATTGTACCATTTATTTGTTATCTGGATGAGCAGACATTCCCACCTTGCCATCTCTCAAGAGCATTCTGGCTCTTCTAGGCATTTTGACTTTCCATATACATTTTCCCATCAGCTTGTCAAGATCCATGAAAACATTGGCTGTAGATATTTTTTTCAGATAGTGTTTATTAGATTATGGGAATTGTTTTTCATTTCTACCTTACTATGAGGCTTTTTTAACAAACTGTGTTATCAAATGCTTTTTCTGCATCAGTTGAGATTATCAGATTATTTTTTTCCTTTATTTCGTATTATGTGAAATACATCGGTCAATTTTTTAATGTGAAACTTAAGTCCAACATTGTGATGAAGCATCATCCTTCTTAGACATTGCTGACTTTGTCTTCCTAACAATTTGTTTGGGATTTTTAAATTTTTGTTCATGTAACTTGAACATCCAGGTAACACGAGCCTCATAAGTTGAACTGAGATATAACTTTGGAAGATTTTGTGGAAGTTGGAATTATTTCTTCTTGAAATGTTTGGCAGCATTTAACAAGAAGCCACTTAAGTTTTTAAGATGTTTGCAGGAAGGGTTTGTTGTTGCTCCCTGCATTCGGGGATTCGTTTTCTTTAATGGATACAGAGAAATGTCTATTTGCTGTTTCTTCTTGGGCAGAAAAAAAACCTGGACTGGCTTTGGAAAGTTTTATTTTGCTAGAAACTTTCCACTTTTAAATTTTCAAATTAATTGGCATAAAGTTCTTTAAAATAGCCTCGTATGTTAGTGTTAATATAACAGTTTATTACCTACTTGATGAGTATATTACTTTCTTGGTCAGCTTACCTAGAACTTTATCAATTATATCAGTCTTTCCAAAGAACTAACTTCCAACTTCATTTTACTTTGATTCCTTTTACTTTTTGTTTCTTAATTTAATTTTTTCCACATTATATTGTTTAGGATTATTTTCCCTTTTAAGCTTTTTCATAAACTGACTCAATATCAACGCCTTGGCTAATGCCATTTTTCTCTCCTAAGTTCTGCTCCTTTTTCCTTCCATTTATGGAAACCTCATACTTTAAGTTTTCAGGACAAGTTCCTACCTGGAGTCCTGGCCAGTCAGTTAGTTGCCCATCTCCTGAAGCCCTAACCTTCTATAATCACATGCTCTTCAATCTCTTGTAACACTTGCTGTCTATCCCATTTCTTTGGCCCTTATTATCTAGATTATGATTTGCAGTGTATAGTTTGTTGGTTATTTTCTTGAATACTAACTAGATTCTAAAACTTTTATATCCCCCACTCCTAGAATAGAGCCCATATCTAACATAATACTAAGCCCTAAAACCAGCTTTGGGAGGCTGCTGCTGCCGTAGCAGTGACACTGACGTTCATGTTAATGAGGGTGGCAGTGACAGTGAGGGTCCCTGCAAAGGCCACAAAAGCTACTGAGCCCCAGAGAGTGGGAAACCAGAACTAGGAGTTCTAGAAAAAATATAAAAATTATTCTTTCCATTGCTAATTGAGCTACATAAACCTAATTTACAAGTCTTGTGAGTCCCATTAAAATTACCTGGGGGAGATGATGTTTTAAAATATGACATGTAGACATTTTAAATTTCTAAAGCACTGGTAGAGAGAGAGCATCCTACAACACAAAGCGCACTGGCCACCCCGCCTGACTAAGCTGCGTGATTTTAGGAAAATCTGAAGCTTCAATTCCTTTGATATATAACATTCCACTTACCTTTTCTTTCTTGGATGGTTGAAAGATTTAACGAAATAATGTATACGAAAGCGTTTGAGAACTTGTAAATATAATACATCATTATGTGAAGATATTTACTCAAAATTATACTATTTTCCTTGTGGAACTTTAAAAACCACATAAAAACCTAGGAGAAAGGATTGTTTAGTAATTACTGTTACTTATATTTGAACCCTACTTTTATGTTTCTCATAGGCATTTATGACATTGATGTTCCATGACCATAAGGAAATTTTGAGTTGCAAATGAGACAGGTGTGATTCAGGAAGTTGTTTCAGGGAAAACAATAGCAGCTGAGATTAGAGCTGCTGAAATGAGAACACTTGAACCCAGGCTTTCTTCTGCACCGCAGTTTTACCGTAGCTATCCATTTAGCACACTGTGTTAATTTTTGGCAAAACTGGCTTCTAATTAGCAGGTATGCAATGATTTTAAAGAAACAAATCATATTTAATGCCTACAATGCCAAGGCATTATTTCTAGCGTTTTTTCAGCCTTACAAGCTAGATTGCTGGAGGTGTTGTGAATGATGTGAATTCTTTTGAGAAAGACCCATAGGTCTTTGAAGGAAGTAGACAGAAAAATGAAGATGATGATGATGATGATTATTATCATCATCATCATCATCATCACAACCCAAGGTTGTTTACCAGGGAGGAAAATCCAATTTTAAAGGAAATTGCTAACTTACCTAGTGCTTTGCAAGAACAGTTTAAGAAATGAATTGCTTGCAATTTAGGGGGAAGTGTTAACAAGCCTGCTTTCAGCATTACCAAGAATTTGGAGTAGAGTATATATCATTAAATCCATTTTTATCAAAAGAGCATCTGATTTTTAAAAACAATGTAATACCGACTTGCTCTTTGAAAGCTGTCGGTATCCTTCAAAGTTGTACTGCCATCAAAGAAGCTGTGGGTGTATTCTGCAGAATAATATTATGTTAAAAGAAATTCCATCAATTAACAAGCATCTCCTGTGCATCCCCTATGAACATAGCACGGTGCTATGTGGAGAATTCCAAGAAGTAGAACTGGCCCAACTCTTGGGAGCTGTAAAGCCCACACTTAACACTCACAGAACAGTAGGGACTCCACTAAGTGTAGGGAGTATTAAGTGTAGCAGAAATTTGGGGCGGGCAGGAATAGGCTGGTCTATCTGGCCCCCATGACTAAGCTTCTTTGTGGACAAAGATTGTGCCTTTATTCACATTTCTATTCACCTTCACCCAAGGTCCTCTTTCTCCTCCTGGCCCCTCACCCAGTTCTCCCCAGGAATGAGGCCAAGCTTGGACACAGTAAGCACTTTAATAAATAAATAAATCCCTGCGGACCACCATCTCCTCACCAGTCACCTTGTTAGGATTTAAAAGTTGAACTGTATGCGGCTCCTGCCTCCGGGCTGTGTGCGGGATTTCCTTCTTCCTTTCTGGAGTCTTCCCGCAGCTCTCACTGCTCAGGGCTGCACCCAGGAACACCCCTCAGCTCTCCAGGGGCAGGTGGACTTATTTCAAAGGTTCAGTCTTTCTAACTGTAGGCACAGCCCCAGCTGCACAAACCCCAAGACAAGGTTTTTCCGCACCTTGAAGGGTAGAGCCAGCCTCAGAGGGGAAGCGAGGGCAGCACCCCAACTCTCTCCATTCATCAGCTATTATGGGGTGGCCACATAACTCGCCTGTCAAACCTGGATATGTGTGAGACTGAAGGGAGGGGGCAGCTGAGATGGAGGGAAGCTGAAAGTCCCCCGAGTGGAGGAGCTAAGAAGCAACATTGAGGTTAGCCCGTGGGACAGGTCATCCCAGCGAACACTGCATGTGTCATGAAGCCTGGGATTCACATGTTCACAAGCCCAGTTAATATAGGGCATGCACTCCCCACAGTTGGTGGGGGAGCATGAAAAATTCTTAACCACTTTATGCATAAAACACAGGCATAGTAAAACACATAGACAGATACAATCTCTTCCATAGGAATAAAACTTCAGGGAGAGGGATGTGATTGGGAGATCCTGTTTTAAAAATTCCAAAGGGGTTCAGTAATTTTTTAAAAAATGAGAAACACTGATATAAGGGAATGACCCTGATTGAAGGCCAAGAGATAACGGGAACTTGGAAGGACAAGGGAGGTTAAACCCACGGGGTCGAAAATTTAAAAGAAAGGAATTTTTGCCTCACCAGGGACCCGTCACAGCCTGGAGGTGGCAACAGGGAAGCGTAAGGATGCGCCCTCTGCAGGCAGGGCTGAAGCAGCCCCCTGTGGCTGACCGGGGGAAGCCGCATCCCAGGACAAGGCCGGGCTTCTGTTTCAGTAAAGACATGGAAATGTATGCTCTTTAAGACTGAGTAGGTGGCCTGGTTGTTTGCCCCGGATTCAGTGGAATCGCCTGAGGACGAAATCCCAAAGGTTATCATATTTCATGAACGTTGCCCTAACTGAAATATTGCTCCTTATACAACCAGGTGGCTGCTGAAATTCACCAGAGGCTCCTGGAAGAAGAAAAGGACACCCAGCTGGCAGAAACAAAAGAAAAATCTCCTCAGACGAATGCCAATAAAAAGGTCACAAAGGAACCACCCCCACAGAAAAAGGCAGACAAAAAAGAGAAAGGTATTCATGGTTTTAGCATCCAAAACTGTGGATGCTTAAACCTCACCTTGATAGGAAACCAGCATGTAACAAAGCACACTAACCTCTAAGCCTCTAGGCTCTTCACTAGGTTTAACTTCGAGACCCAGGCTTCCATGAACTGTGGTGTTAGTTGGCAAATCATATCGCATACCTGTCCTACCTAACTTCTTTATCCAAATAGCCAAGTATATCCAGAATCAAATTAACCTCGAAGACAGTTTGAACATATTAAAGGAACTCCAAGTTCACATTGCGTGATCTGAAAAGTGTGTGCAAGGGGGCTGACACTTGCTGCGGTGACCAACGGAAGTTTAAAAGCTCATTATAAGTATGTTAGTTTAAGGTTCAGTTCAGGTCTCAGGTTTTATTCAAGCAAGTCCTTATCTCTAGGGGCCTCCTGGAAAGTAAAGGGAAAGGAAAACTGGGGTTGGCCGAGAACAACTCTTCACCTTCAGGATCAGCCCTGACACCAATGTCATCTTCCCCTCTGAATGCCTCTTGCACGTGTACATTTTTGCAGTGACTTGGGGCAAGAGAGGAAGAGTTGGCAGTCCGTGAACACAAGTCCCTCCATGCATCGAGTGCTCGTGATGTGTGTTAGGTACCTGCTCTGCGAAGCACACTCTCCTGGGTGCCGAGAACACAGCGGTGAATCTTAGGAAAACAAAAATATGGCCTCTGCCCAGACGGAGCTTCAGGCTAGCAGCAGAGACACACATTGGCCCATCATTGTTCTTTGGGAGGGAAGGGACAAGTCCCTTTAGAGCAAAGTCACCTTCCTCCAGCTGAGGCTCCAGAGAAACCCTTCCGAAGGGGAGTCCATTTAAGCAGCCATGGGTAGGAGTTAAGACAAAGCCCTGAGAGTGGGGAGTGGGGGGGCTGGGGTGGCACTTGAGACAAACAGAAGAGTGGCACCATGATAAAGGACATGCCCCTTCAGTCTGTTGATGATGATGATAATAAATGGTATAGGCAGCATTGGAAGGAAGTGCTTTAATTTACTTTAATGAAATAACTAGTTGAGTCTAATCTCTTAATTTCACACATGGTAAAATAGAAATCTAGGAATTTAAGCTCTCTTTCATTTGTAACTTATACATATATCCTCCATTGCAATGAACACCTCTTATTACAGTTTCTCTGTTTACATTTATATATCCCCCAAAATTTTAAACCCTAGAGGTAGGACCTTCAAGAACAACTTATTGAATTAAGTAGAATTATATAAAATGGGCCCACAACCAAGAATCACACTGTCAAATTCTCAAACACCAACAAATTCTTATTATCTAGTTTTCCTCTGTAACCCATGAAGTACTTGCAGTTAAGTACTAGTTGCAAGATAATTAAGTCAATTACAGATTCTTGACCATCAGCTACATTTCAGCCATATCTTCTTGAGGTTATCCTCCAGTCTCTTCTCAATGAGGACTTGGGAAACCCATGGCTAATGTAAGTAACCCTTGTGGAGTTGTCCTTTTGCAGGTGGCTAATGGCATCCACAGTGTGTTGGGGTTTGCTAATGTCTGTCCCCACACTCTGAATTGCCACCTCTTTGGAGTCAGTAACCATGTCTGCATGTGCTGCACAGCCCCATTTGCCCATGATGGTCCACGTTCGTGGCCAGCACAGACGCCATGTGGAGAGTTCTCGGCACAAGGCCCTCAGGACTTCATCACGCACACTGTCTGGGCCAAGGCTTCCTCCTTTCCAGAGCACCGGAGGTTCATAGGTCCAGACGTTCTCCTTTGTACTCATTTTGTCCAAGTACCACGTGTGTGCACCCGTCCACTATGAGTTTATTCGGCGTGTTTGGTTGGCCTTTCAGGGAAATCATTATCCATGACAGACGCCACTGCTGCAGCACAGTCACCATCGGAGATTGCCGAAATGGAAAGGAAAAACGAACTGAGACTCAGAATAAAGGAGGAACATCTTGCTGCCCTGCAGTTTGAAGGTAGTAATTGGAAAAAACTAAGATGATCCTTTTCAATAGAAAATAGACCACTAAGCCAACAGCCCACATGGACAGCTCAAACCATGCCTATGAGAACACAAAGCAAACTGATTAAAAAGTACAGCATTCAGTTGGCTGTTTTCATGCGACCATATGGAGACTGGGTTGACTATTGAATAATTATCTGCTTGTTTCTCAAAAAGAAAAAAAGAGAAACTGAGAAGGGGTTAGGAGAGCACTTACAGTAATTATAATCTCAAAGACTAGAAACACAAAGAATCTTTTAGAGTTGGTGTCATTTTACAGATTGAAACAAGGCCTGGGGCTACCTACGTAGGTGGCTTTATATTATAATAAGAATAGTCTAGGCATCTCATCAGAAAAATAAACCCTATCCAGAGGTGAACAGGCCCTGAAAGTGAGTTCTTGGGAGCAGAGCCAACAGGAGAGCAAGTGATGGATAAATAATGTCCAAGGGCCCCTTTCTCCTTGCATAGCAAAGACTCTAAAAGACAGTCTCCTTCTGGCTCCTCAAGGTGTCTTATAATATATTTCAAAGTGGAATTTGAAAAGATCAAGAAACCGAGCAAAAGTATCCTAATTGGAGAGCAACTGTGGTCAATATATTAGGTGACAAAAATCATAAAATTACATCTTTGGGTCAGCTGGGACACATTAACTACTCAATGACCATTAACTATTAAGGATGCTTTCCATCCCTTGTTTCTCTCCTCTTCTCCCATCCTCTCACCCCACTACCACCTGCCTCCACAATCCCGAGAGTAAAATCTGAAGTAAGTTGAACTCAGGAAGATCTGTGGGGTCGGGAGAGGCAGGACGCATCTTCTCCTCCCCTGCCCATCCCACCTCTGCTTTCGGTAAAGTCTGCTTCATCTTTCAGTACATTCATACATGATTCCTGCCAAGGTTAAATTCCTTCATTCACACAATAAATATATACAGGGTTTTCACTATGTGCCAGCCCTGTAGTAGTTACTGGAAACACATTCATGTATACACAGACACAAAACTAACAAAAATAAATCCTGGTCTAGAGGAAGTGAAATGCAAGCAATCCCTTATAGTATGTTGGGATATTGGAGGCTGGCTTACGGGACAAAGGGAGAATATGGGGAGGGCTGGTGGTGATCAGGAAGGACCTCCCCAGCAGGGGAATTAATGCTTGAGCTGAACTGGGTGAGCAGAATGTGGAGAAGTTTGCCCAGAGCCCAAACTGGAGCATCAATGGGAGGGGAGAGCTAAGTGAACTGCAGTGAGTAGCTCATGAGTCTGGGGCATATTCTGGGAACAACTGACTGGGGACATAGGGAAGCCACATCATGGAGGGTTGCACAGACCTTGCCAAGAAAAAGTTACCTTTTCTCTTAGGCCAACTAGGAGCTAGAGAAGAATGCTGAGCACAAGAGCAACTGTGATTACGTGTGCAGGTGACACAGATCTCTCCAGAGAGTGTGGAGACAGATTTGGATTTGGGTGGGGAAAGGAACCTAGAGAAAGCAGAACTGAGGCCACTGGGATAGTTTAGGTAATATACCCAGTGCCTAGACTAGACCAGTGGTAACAGAAACAGCCAAGAAGGAAGATTGGAAAGGTATTTCACAGTAAAATCAACAGACCATATGGTGTGCAAGGAACAGCAGTAAGTCCTGGGACACGTGGACTTAACCCTGTTTTTCCCAGTGCTGAGGAAGACTATGGCATTGTAATCCCAAAGTTCTAAAGTAGGGAGATCAAGAGACTTTGTACTCTCCTCCCTTTTGAAATTAGGAAAATACCTATTTGTGTTTTTTCATTTCAATTTGTCAAAGAGCATATTACTATAAAGTGCAATAAGTGTAAAGCTTAACTACAGTCTTGGTTTAAATTATCAAATGACTCTACCACACATTACTTTTGCTTCTCAATGAGATGGCCGAGTATCACTCATCCATATTTACAGATTAAATGTCTGCCTAAAGCTTCAAAAATTGAAGGATGATTGTTTTAATATTAAATTCAGTTCATCAGAAAAATGCATATGTGCATAATATATTTTTAAAGTCTTTATTTCTCTTTTTAAATAGAAATAGCCACACAGTTCCGACTTGAACTGATAAAGACAAAAGCACTGACCGCCATTGAAGGTTTAGTGACAAAGGTAGTGGATGTATATAAGCTCATGGAAAAGTGGCTTGGTGAGAGGTACTTGCATGAAATGGCCAGGTAAAGTATTGCCTGACATGATCAAAATGCACTTTGACCCTGGCTGGTGTGGCTCAGTGGGTTGGAGTAAATTCCTGTGAACTGAAAGATCACCGGTTTGATTTCTGGTGCCTGGGTTATGGCTTCAGTCCCCAGATGGGGTGCATGCAAGAGGCAAGGATGGGTGTTTCTCTCCTTCTCTTTCTCCCACCCTTCCCCTCTCTCTAGGAAAAAATCAATAAGCATATCCTCTGGTGAGAATAAAAATAAAAATACACTTTGGTATTTCCTGAAAACCAAAACTGACAAAGGTTTTTAAAGTGTGCACAAATGCAAACTACCTTTATAAATAGAAACATTGCCCTTTTAGGAAATCACGTGTACCTTTGTATAGACCCTTTTCAATGGTAAATCACATTTCAAAGGATTGTATTGCAATATCCAGTCTTGTATATTATTTAAGAGTTTGGTTTTCACACTACTCAATGAAGACTTTAGTTTACAAGGTAAGATGATAGGTACTTTTAAATATTTTTTAGAAGTAAGGTAATGCTTCATATCTATCTAACACCAGACATATAAAACCTCAATGGCCTTTAAAATGGCCTTTAATTGAAGCCAAAATGATAATCCCCAGTACAACTGAAATTCACACCCTAGGTGATTTCACCTTAGTAGCCACAAGGTGTGGAACCATGTGTGATTGGCTCCACTGCAGAGGTGAGGACCCCCAGCAAAGTCAAGTAACATGCCCAGGGACCCGTGGTGAGAGAGTGTCCTGAGCAAGAGCACAGTGTCCAGGGCTCGTCCACTGTGCCCAGTGGTCCCTACCTACTGCTGCTGATACTAAATTTACATGTGCTTGTACCAGTGTGGTTCATTTTATAATTTATCCTGATTCCAAATAAGTGTGTTATTCCAATAGTCATATGTTACAGGATTTTTTTTCAGGAATATAACCATATTTTGGTTCATACTCAGAATAAAATACAGGGCCTGGCGCAAATAATGTCCCTTTTCATTACAAAATCATAAGCATGTAATTCTATAATGTAACAATATCACACTCAGGCAGCCCATATGACATGTTAGGTGAAATGGTCAAAATTAAAACCATAAATTATTACACCCATAACATTACCCTACCAACCACACTCAAGCAGGCGTTACTTCTGCTGGACAAGATGCTGGTGTATCTTGACATAATCTTGCTTATGTGGTAAAATATGTTCTAATATAAGTAGAACCATATTTAGTGAAGTATCTTCTTGTTTAGCTTTGTAGAAAATGTGTGGCTATGAGTTTTATAATGAGCATGTGTTTTGCTTCTAAGCTTCATTTATTTATTTATACCTTGCCTTTTTATAAATGGGTTTGAGGAGGAAGGAGAATTTTTAAACATGCAGACTAAATCATCTAACTTAGATATATAATGTGTCAACTCTGTGTATGTATCTAACAAACAAACAGCGTTAACCCGACAGTATCTTCCATGGGGATGACCCTCTTCCTTTTCCCACTTTCAGTATAGAAAAGTTAACGGAGGTAGCTCGCTATCACATTGAAACGTCTACAAAAATTCAGAATGAACTTTATTTGGACCAAGAACACTTCTTCATTAATGGCGACATCAAAGTCTTTCCAGACCCTCCTCCTCCTATACGCCCTCCGCCTGTGGAAAAGGAAGAAAATGGCACCCTGACCATTGAGCAGCTGGACAATTTCCGAGATCAATTCTTAGAAATAGCACCGAAAGGTAAGAAAAACAGTTCTTATGACAAGAGCCCCCAGATGTCAAGATTAACCAGGAGGGCAATCATCTGCCCACAAATAAAATCAGCCCCCTGGGATGACGCGGCCCTAAAATGATCCCTTGCCTTCTTCTACTTAATCTTATACTTGCTTCATATAACCTAGGTTTGAGTTAAACGAACATGAAAAAAAAAACAGTGGCTAATCCCTAGACAGCGTGGTGATCCTCATTCCTGGTAATTCTCCTCCCCTGCCCCCCTATACTCCTGGCTGGCAAGCTGGTACATGGGAGCAGTGCTCCGTCTGCCAGTGGAGAGACAGCCTTCGTGCCTACTTCCAGTTTAAACTTTGTATTGGGATTACGAACTCATGGAAGGGGATTATGAGTTTGAAAGGGGGGTTACAGGGATTCCACTTTGTGGAAGTGAAGTTTGAAAATTATCCGCCACTCTTAATCTCTTCCAGAAGGGGCCTTCGTAGTTGTGATGATAGGCATATACACTCCTGGAACCAACCTCAGACCCAGAGTTTATATTTCAGCTAAAAGCTGAAAATAAAGAACAAATAGCAGCTATAACTTGACATGTGTATGTCTTACAAGATAACTCTAGAGACCCTTGGGACCAAAACCTATCAACGGAAACATTTGTCTTATTTTCAGAGTGGGGTAGAAAGAGGAAGGGAAGGAGGAGAAAGACAAGGAAGAGGCGAGGGAGGGAGTTATGTTTTTAACAAAGTAGATGTAAAAGAAAAACCAATTGCCCTGGGGACTTCGAGGGAAATTTGAAAAGGCAAACAAAAAAAGAAGAAAATCTAAACGTCTGTTTAAGTTCTTTCTAGAACAGAAGATGAACTTTATAAAAGCAAAGGACAATCAACGTGCAGGGAGGTTGGTCAGGGAAAGCTTTGTGAAACGGCACTTTGCAGGGAGCAACTGAAGGAAGTAAAGATTTGATGGCAAAGATACAGAGGACGTTTAGAGTCTGGGCAGAGCCGCTAGGAAACGAATTGATGTGAGGCATGAGTTCAGGTGTTCCGGGAAAGATCGGCACCCAGCTCTGCTTCTCCTTCACCACCCACACAAACTGCAGGTGAGCACAGGAGGAGGCCCCTCTGTCGGGGAACCACCTCCACCCACCCCAGCTGGGGACGTAACCCAGATTTAAAAATGTCCGTTATCACTAATGCAGAATTTACAGGGCTTCATACTACTGTGGGATTTGAGAGGCTTGGTGGTTCAAAATGAGTTATCGTCTATGGACAAGCAGTTGAAACCCTTCTCTGTATCCTCAACTCAGGATACTTGAAAAAATATCTATTGCATGTGTTGCTTCTAAGTACATGTGAAATACTTAGCTTAGTGTTTGGGTAGTCTACCAATAGGAGTAATACTCACTGTTATTATTTATACTAATGTTGTAAAGGGAAGGCAAAACAATCCTCATTCCATTATCTGCATCCCAGAGTCATAGAATTAGAGGTTCTCTCGTGACATCTTCAGAGTCAGGCTGCAAATGCCCACATGGCCCCTCCCCAAGCCAGTCCAGTAATTACCACTCACTCCTTCTCCCCCTCTCACCCGGCCTCCAAAAGCATCCTTGGACTTTCATCTTTCTTCCATCACTTCTGTGGTTGTGGCTCACTGCCTTAAGGGATACACAGGTCTCTATCTTTTAAGTGAAGTCTTTGGTCATATGCTTTCCAAGAATTGGAAAACAAGCCTTTATGACACCTTTCATTGTATTTCCCTGGAACTTGACAAAATCAAAGGATAATCTTAGCTGAAGTGGTAACAGTCCTGACACAATGGAACAATTGGTGGAAAGTGGTACATTTCTAAACATGTGACCTGACAGAACTTCTTACTGGAATTTGAAAATTGCTATTATTTCTAAGCTAAAAAAAGATGAGCATTTCCTTATACTATTTCATATACACCGATGCAACCTATGGTATTTGCGGTGCAAACTTCAAGGTCACCAAACTATATTAAAATAAGATGGACAGGTGGGCTTGTTCCTAGGAAACCAGCACACGTGTTTGCGTGTGACGGTCTTTATGTTACTAAGCCTGCAGTAACATCTTTTAACAAATTTTTAAGTAGTGTTAATATTATTCAGTTACACTTTATAACTTTTAATTTTCCACATAAATAAAATTATAGAAGTAAATAGATGATCTTTGATTAAAACAAGTGTCAGGCTATTTTATATACTTGCAACAAGTAGATGCTTTCAGGACAGAAATGGCAAGGACTCAGGAGTTTTCTGCTGAGTATTAATTGGCCAATCTACTTGAAAATGGAAAGCCTTCATTAAAACACTTCTTACTGAAGATAATGGAAAATTGAAAATGCACCATATACCATAATGCTTATATTCAACACTCCTTTCTGGTCAGGTTCTGTGCTTATGATGATTCTAAATCTCCTTTGGTAAAGCTATAATGCGACAGAAAGTACCATTTCTTGATATGATTGTTACAAACATGTCAGGGAAAAAATGACCATATGTGTGATAACCACACAAGGTCATGTGAAAATACAATGAAATAACTTGCACTAGCATTTTGTTTTTGCTGCCTAGTGAAAATTCATACTTTAGAATGTTAAGAAGAGCTTAAGAGGCGACCGCTGGATCAGCAAAACATTCATTCCATAAGCTCTCTCAGGAGTCATTCCACAAGCACCGTCCCAGCAGAAAAGGGACTTCAAGAGTATCTTTTGTGTTATAACAGTAGCCAGTCCTGGCATGGCATGAGAAGCCACGCATCAAGCCCCATGCCAGCATTTCCATGGTAACTCACTTCTTACCCATGGCTGGAGGGTAAGAAGACTCGTCCATGGATAAGGAGAGTCAGGCAGCTCCTTCCAGATCTTATCAAATGACAGCAGTATGATCTTGGGCAAGTCATTTAACCTTTCTGTCTCACTGTCCTCATCTGTAAAGTGGGGAAACTAATAAGGTTGCTGTAAGTATTAAAATAATAATGTACAGAAAGTGCTTAGAAAGTGTCTGGTACATGGAATGTACAAATTAAGTGTAATATAAGCTGTTATTACTTAATCCCATAATAACAGTGATATTAATGTAGCATTATTATATTAATATTAATATAGAAAGTATATAGCATTATACAATATTAATGCTAGCTATTCTTATTATTGTCCAAAATGTTAGCTCAGCATCCTGTAGGTCCACATACCCTAATAATGTTTACATCACTACCCTTAGAACACTTGCAGAAAAAAATTGTATCACCCGGGAGAACTAATCCATCCCATACTTCCCAAACAAAACACTCATCTTGTAAGCTCTGGGTAGGTACAACTTGTCTCCAAACAGCAAGTGCCAAGCACATCAGGAAGATGGCCCTTCTCCAAGGAAACTATTTGGAGCCTGTAGAGATTGGAACACTTTTGCAATGTTCCTTCATCCCCACTCAAACCCTAAGAACTCCTTTTTCTTATAAGCCTCTCAGTACTCCACACAATGCTTGGGGAGGTGCAGTTAGTTCATAGCTATTCGGGCTTCTGCCAAGAGGCTATCTGGAGAGAACACAGTCCAGCTGATTCTGTGACCTCTCTCCTTCAAGAGAGACAGCATGTAGCCGTTCAAGGCCTGTAGGATTGTTATGAAAACTGACATGGGGCTCCTCTGCAGCCCCATCTTGGGGACCCTTAGAAGCAGTGAAGGGTCTCAGAGGCAGAGGGCACAGATGCAGAACTCAAGACTGTAGTGGCTAAGCTAGATCATTCAGCTACATGGCTTTTATAGAAATTCAAATGAGAAAGTAGTGACTGCTGCCTGTGTGGGTCAGCATAGGGGTTAGCTGGCAGGATTCGGACAGAAGCTTCCAGGAAGAGAAAGAAGCAGCGGCAGGGTATTCCAGGCACAGGGGAAGTGGGGTAGACATTTGTATTTTTGAGGTGGCATGACATATTTAGGGAACAGCAAACAGCAGCTGGGGCAAGAGGCAGGAGGTGAAGACCACAAAGAGGTTGTGGTCAAGTCACAAAGTCTCAAGTGGCTTACACAGGGCACGCAAGACAGGGTTGTGAAACATGTTTAGAGCCAAGGGATGCGGAGAATGGACTAGAGAGAGGAGACTACGAGAGAGCAGCAGACGCTGCTCTAGCTACAAAGCCTCAGCTACCGGAGAGGCAAGAGGAAGGGTGCCTGGCTTGTTGTCTGTAAAGAGTAACTAGAAAGTTCTGTGGCTTTGTGTAGGCTCAGTGTCTCTGAAAAAAATTATAAAAATATGAGAGTATATATTTGCCAGCAATGAAGCCCCATATTTTGTTTTTTTTTAATATTAAATTTTATTTAGTTACTTTTCAAGTACATTTTTTTTTTATCTATTTCTCCCATCCCACCCCACCCCCCCGCCCGGTCTCCCCCCCCATCCTCCCCCCAGTCCTCATCTCTGCGTCCCTCATACTTGTTCCTCCAAATCCCTCCCCCTTTTTCCCCTTAAGTTCCCTTCCCTCTCCCCTCTGGTCGCTGCCCACTTGTTCTCTATTTCAGTGTCTTTGTTTTTGTTCTGTTTGCTTGTTTGTTTTATTCTTTAGCTTCCTGTCAAAGGTGAGATCATATGGTATTTGTCTGAAGCCCCATATTTTGATTTGAAAAGTGATTAAATTTGCCTGACATTTACACAAATCAAGAAGTAAGGAAAGACTTATTAGAAGAGGTGTGATAAAAGGAGAATTGGTGTTATGTATTAACAAAAATATCTTGTCAAGGTGGCAGAATCTAAGGATCATGGCAAGAAGGAGTGTGGGCCCATATGCCCTATGGTTCCCTCCGTGGGTGAACGCCTTCCGCTAGATCAGATTCATATCACGGAAATGCAGTAGTAAATCTAGAAGCCTTTGGACCTGGTAAAAGTGTGGGCAGAGGGGTTCAGGTGTCACTTCAGGAAGAAACGTAATCTCATGAAACCAGAGAATTTATGTTGAGCAAATGAACGTATGAGCTCAAAATTCAAGATAACAGCTTCTGA